ATACTAAGGAGTCAATCTTTGGAAGAAATTCTGAATGAATTTCATGATGAAGGTCAAGACTTGATACTATGAGAGAAATTATGATGATCACATGAGAGTCTTCACTAGAAAACGTCAAGGGACTCGTTGATGATTTGAGGTTTTCAAATGGCCCACTTTATACCTCGAAATTCTCTGCAAGCTGAATCTGCTGCTTTCTTGGAGTACTCAGTTTGAGAATGTCCTTCACAATGGATGAAGATTTGCATTTCTACTCTTCCTAACTGAATCATGATTTTGAAAACGCGTGTTAAATCAGTTCAAATCACAACTTCAACCTCCAAAATTGTTCGAGTTGGTCGAATAGCCCAAGCTTCTAGTCGAAATTGAATTTTTTCCTCAAATGATCCGGATGATCTCCACGCAAAGTGTTTGGATCACACCGAGCACTAACGCCACCCCGTGACAGGCTTTGTATGATGTGCAAAATGAAATAAACTAATGTAAGATGTGCTTCATCACGCAATTCAGAGCAATCTTACTTAACTTATGCTCCAAGCATAAAATCATAACATCAACGTATTTCTGGGATCTGTCTTGCTGGACATAAATTTGATGTGCGTAAAAGAAAAGTAGCACATAATAATGAACGTCATTCACAGTTGACGCATTCAATCAACTCAGAGTATAATTGAAATCATGATTCAACTGTTGTGAGTCACTAGATATTTAACGAGGAGAACAATTCATTCTAGTTCGTGGATTCTAGGGTTAGGTAATCTTGTGTGTCTCTGTCTTCAACTACTTAAGTGTTGCATTGTATAATTCTAATCAAGTTTTCATTCTTTCACAACATGGTATTAGAGCAAGTGCTCCGATCTTGTGCAGCCTACGAATCTTAACAAGTTGTATCAATTTTTTACTCTGAGAGCAATGTTTTCTCTCACGCTAGATAGCGTAGTACTTCTTGGACGCCATGGACGACAATCACTTCATTTTTGCTTTTTACTTACGTCACAAAGAAAAGCTCAAGGGCCGCACCAACTACATGAATTGATCTATTCGACTTAAGACCATGCTTTGCGACAAAGAGATCTACAAGAAAATTGTCCTCGATTTAGTTGCTCTTGATCCTGAAGACGATGCAAGTGTTCACCACCGACGCATTGAAGAAATTGCTATGATACAGGCTAATGTCTTTCTTGACATTTTTTCTTCCATCATCGAGGTTGAAGATAATCTTTCTGAGTTGTGAACGTATTTGTGCACTTTGTATCAATCTAACAATGCTTAAAGTCGGTTAATGTTAATTGAGAAGCTTTCTATTCTAAAGCTGTGTGTTCATGTCACAATCGAACAGTACCTTCGGACTATCCAATCTCTCAAGATCAAACTTGCTGCCATTGGTCATCGACCTTCTGATAGTGATTTGATACATTACACTCTCAAGAGTCTTTCACTTTCATGGGCACCATTTGTTTCCAACTTCAGCAGCGATCAGGCTCAAGATCCTCCACCTGATTCTAATCTTAATGGATTTTCAAGTCCAAACCTCAACTAGATGCTATCTCTTTAAGATTAAAAGCACTTCTTGTAGCTAGAGTACTTGAATAAAATCATGGCATTGACTACAATGAAAGGTTTCTCATGTGATACGATGGTCAACTCTCCGAGCTCTTATTTCATTGTCTATAGCTCTTGGATGGGAAGTGCATCATATGGATGTAATAACTGCCTTCTTGAATGGAAAGCTACAGGAAAAGATTTACATGAAACAATCACCCGGTTTTGAGTAGTCAAGCCAAGAGCATCTCGTTTTTCTTCTCAAGAGATCAATCTATGGTCTCAAACAATCTCTGAGACAATGGTATGAGGAGATTAACTCCTATCTGCAATCAGTTGGTTGGGCTCGAAGCAACTTTGACCCCAATCTCTATTTTCTTTGACAAGGTGATATCATCACTGTGTTACTTTTCTATGTGGATGATCTACTACTCCTAGAAAGCCGTTTTGCACGTGTAGCGAAGATTAAGACGCAACTACATAAACGCTACCGGATGAAGGATCTTGAACCTGTCTCTCAGTACCTCGGTGTTGAATTTCACAGGCTTACTAATGGCAGTTTGTCTCTTCATCAACACAAATATATTGCGGAACTGCTGGACAAATGCAAGCTTGATCTCTCGATGATCGAACATATTTCACTTCCAGTTGGCCATGTCTTGGAACCTGCCACAGGAATAGTGCATATCGATGTTTCAACCTACTGCCACATTGTTGGCAAGTTGATCATTCTGTCCTACTTGTCCCGACTTGTCTTATGTTGTTGGAGTTGTAACTCGTTACATGCATTCGCCGCAACAAGCACACTTGGACTTTGTAAATCACATGCTGCGCTACCTTAACTTTACCCGAGACTATGGCCTTCTTTAAAACAAAGATGGCTCTACTTCTCTCCGTGGCTACTCAGATTCAGACTATCTGAATTGCCACAATACATGTCGCTCTGTTGGTTCTTATCTTGTCGTGCTAGCTAGTGGTCCAATCTTTTGTCTTCAAAACAACAAGCTACAATCTCCGACAGTATTATCGAAGCAGAGTTCAAGATACTTTCTGAAGCAACCAAATGAGTCTATATGCGCCAACTGCTTGACGAGCTCGAGATAATACCACCTGTTGAAGTCCTAATTACATGTCAAGACTTCAAAATTTGTGAAGGCCTCAAGCACGCAGCAACTCCAACTCATGCAGACCTGCATCTCTCATGCGACAATCAAGATGTCGTACAGCTCGATCTTAATCCGATCTTTCATGCTAAAACCAAACACATCGAGTCAAAGCATTACTTTGTAAGAGAACGAGTTTTAGAGGAAGAAATTTCAGTTGAGTACATACACACTGAAGACAATCCAGCTAATCTTTTGACTAAACCCCTACCACGACACAAATTTGATAAACATTGACTTTTTATTGGAATGGGGATCTCTTGCAGATTTACAAGAAGTTTGCTAGACTTACCGTGTTCACCTCAAGAGGGGGGTGTTGTGAGTCATTAGATCTTTAGTGAGGAGAACAGATCATTCTAGTCCGTCGATTCTAGGGTTAGGTTTTCTATCGTGTCTCCATATGCAACTACTTAAGTGTTGCATTGTATACTTCTTATCAAGTTTTCATTCTCTCACAACATCAATCTCATTGAAAGCATAGAAAAAAAAGCATGATTCTTAACCCGCAAGCTGTGAAGGGATACTTTCGATGATCATGATAGTCATTAAAGCTCCATGATGTCACTATTGCCAATAGTGACGTATGGTTCTTATTGGGCAAATTTACACGTTAAAAACTAATGGTTCCACACTTTCATGTCACTAAAGGGAGGATGTCACTTCTAGGAGGTGACACTATTGGGAGGTTTAACGTTGGACGCCTGTTCAAGCATTGTATCAATTAGGCCCTCACATTTGACCTAAGCCATTAACGTACTTGGCATTTCCAGGATTTTTGAGTAATGTGTTGCGAAATTCCAAAATGCAAACTATTTCAAGTCAAATGAGCGAATCTCATACGTTCACTCACCCGTTCATTCTCCAGTTTGATGGGTTGTTGTGAGCAGTTCCTGCACAAGGACTCAAACTCCCTCATCATGTGAACAAGCTGTTTGATTGATACATGTGCTTGTCAGGCGGAACCAAAATATGAGAATTATCTAAATAAGACTAACGAATGTAACCATGATGCTATGTATGGACCTTTCGATGAAGATGGGCTATTTAAAAACAAGACATGTGGGTGCGACATGATTTTATGTTCCGGGATAAAATCCCCACTTACCAAGAGTGAAACAACGTAATAGACGATTTCTAAAAAGACTTTTTCTCTTCTTTGCGATAAATGCCTCCAACCCAGCAGAGAACGTAGCACTCGTCTTTTCATCTAGGTAGGTTAGTCTTCTCTTCTTTGTAGCTCTAAGACGAAAGAAAGGAAACCAAACCATATTAGAGTAATAAAGAATCATAGTTCGCGGCCGAATATAACAACATTGGCACTTTCGCTTTAATATTTCACACTCAATGGCCCTTCTCCATGCCAAAATGTTAATCCTGAACTTTTGCACTGCGATATTTCCGAGTTCGCCAGGTCCCGCCATCCAAGTCGGCAGGATGAAGGATATGACACCACTCTAACTTCCAAACAGTCGTCGCATCAAGCGTCATGGTATGCTAGTCATCTGAAAATGTCCAAATGACTGACCTAATAGCGTCGATGTAGTTGCCAAACTCGTACAAAGATAAAAATAGGCTTCGCATAGACATAGGAGCAAAGTCTCACATTCCATACAGTACTTGAAATATCAACCACCTCTAGCAACGTATATAGCAAACTGAGTCCCCTGAGTGAAAATAGTATCCAATGTATTAACATACTAACGTCAGAAAACTCTTCTTTCTATGCATCCATCAATTTTGGCAGTGGACATATAGTCTGGTATTAAAAGATTCATCGTGTTCGAGAAAGAGCGGAGTTAGAGAGGCTTCATAATGAATATCATGCACAATAGTTGAATACATTATTTCTACTACAGTTAGTTAAAATCAACAATGTTAGTAGAAGAATCAAAATTGATTTTTTTAAGGACCGTAGGACCTAGTTTCAAAACAGAGTGAATCAGTGCCGTTACTAAACTCGATAGAAATTTGGATTCTCCGAGAAGTCCACGTTATCAACCATTTCAAAGCAGCGTTATAAGCAAACGTCGATCTATCGGTCGACAAATATGCTTCTACGAGCAAGATGTCCGAGAAATCTAATTTCATCATAGCTTAAGCACAATAGAGATGTATCCAGGAACTACAATAGAAGTGAAATAAACGTAACTGATTTAAGGATTCTCCTTCATCATGAGTCGGATTCCATTTACTATATAAAAAATTGTTCCAAAAACCTAGCAATATAACAAGATTTCGGGTACGACCCCATCGTATCGTACAGTGAGATGCTCTATGTATATTAGTATCGCATACCCCTTCGATACGTGCAGCATCTCAATGGACTTACAAGCATTCAGAAGAGTGCGCAGAGAAGGTAATAAAAAAGTTTAATAGGTGGTGAGTTGACGTGTCACTACGAACTAGTGAACTATTGCACACAGAGATTGTTTGAACTCGGAAGGAAACAACTGTGAGGTGGCTTTCGTAACTTGAACAACTTGGAGAAGTGGGCTTGTCCCTAAGCCTTGTATATTCCTTCAGGCTTGATACCCAAACTTGATCCTCAATGCGAGAAGAAGATAAGTGAACAGTCACATGAAACGTTGGCAGTTAGAAAAGACCTCACCGAAAGTTAAGCTTTGGCTGGTCGATTACCAGTCAAACTACTACAGTGAAAGACTTGTCAAAGCTTTAAGCTCAAGACATTCGAAAGGAGATTTAGAAAAGCGGAAAGGTTAGTTCACAATTCGGGACATGTTCACAAAAGAATCGACAAATTCCTGAAAAGCCGGAAGAGGAAACTGGCAGTTGCTTTATATTAAACTAAAGCTTTTGCTCTATACACGATACGTTCGAGAAGGAAACCAAGCTTTTCCACATCCTACAGGCGGGGGAGACAACGCATTTCAGATGACGGTTCTAGACGACAGTAGTCCTTGCCTGTTCGTTATTAGGTGAAGTTTTGACTATAACCATATGTCAGACCAGGCCCAACCTATGGGATTCTTCCATCTTCACCAGCACCTTCAACCTTGAGGCTTTCTAGAAAAGGTTTCAATATAGCAATTAATCACAGACCGATTTTCGGACCATTTGGCCCAAACAGGTCCTTACAGGATGATTCCATAAACTTGTGATAGCCCTATACAGGTGTTCCATCAACTCTCCCCATCGTCGTCCGGGCCCCTGCGACATTCGAGTCCCAATCCTTTCAGTGGAGCCAATGACCTGCAATCCTTTCTCTGTAATACATAATGCGAAAATGGAGGCACAAGCCTTCCTTTCCGCCTTCATTTCAAACAGAGAACGGAATATTGGATCTCATCTCAATCTTCCAATGATACTTCGAAAGTGTCTTGATACAGATGTGAGAGCATGTGCTAGAACCTGATTCCTACAAAATTTCTCTTCTGGCAGTTTTGTGCAAGCACGCAAGATATTCTCCACAGGAAGGGGAGACAACCACTTCAATCACAAAGCGATGTGTCAAGGTGCAAGTAGCGCCCAGACTTCACTATTGCTCGAAATGCCGAAATCTTGCTCATACATCTTCCAACAAAAAAGGACTGATTAGCCAGATATGCTCCTGATAGCCCTAACTAAGTAGAAACAAACCCCCTGACCGGATACTGAGGTATCAGTCTATGAATCAATATTATCATCAATCAGCTTTCAACCTCTCAACAAGATCATCCTTAACGCGTACAAGTGCTTCCATAAGTAATTTACGCTACTGATTGTTTATAAAACCAGCTAACTCTAAGCGGATGCGACAATCCTTAATGAGCGGCCACAGTTCCAGCATGAGACTTCAAGAAATTGTTTATGTAATCACGCCTGCGTATGGACACGAACATGGGCGACCGTCAGAAAACTGTAATAACAGCTCATCCCTCCAGATAGCCCACTGACTTCGAAATCAAACGCGCGATATAGAAGTCATCAGCCGAAAATTTCTTACGTCTAGCAAAACAAACAATTCAACGAAAAAACCAAGAACAAGGAATAAATTCAAAAGCAGGGTATAAAAGCCGCCTTCAACCTTATCGGGTGATCATCTTGTGGTCGGTTGTAAGGTGTCCAGACTGGTTCCCCGATAAACAGCCTCATAGCCTATACGGTGAGAAAAACAGAGTTGAAAACCACAATATTAGATCAGATTCTCAAATTCTTTTCAGCACACTTGGCTCACCTGCTAGTCAGAATGGACAAGCATCTCGTTACTGATATACTTCGTTCACTACGACTATTTTCTTGCGGTCATACACATATGGGTGTTGACCTTTACGATGAAGTGCGTGTGCAGTTATGGTAGGGAGAAACGATCAATTAACTTCAATGATTAAATAACATCAGGAAAACACAGCAACACATCTCAACACAATAAAAAACACATTCTAAATAGTCACTGTGCATTAACCTCACCAGACACGGGCTAAAAACGGTATAATAAAAACTTCAGTTTTGTTCAGCAGCTTTCAAAAATGGGAAGCAGATACAAAGGTGCACCGGGAAGATAATGAGGTACAAGCACAAATCGCGTTCAGTTTATATTCATGTAATCGACGACATAAGACAATCTAAACAAATACCACTGCCTTGAAGTACACTATCAAAAAACAATGTCACTGGAGTCGGCTGGTGTATCGGGGGGTTTAATTTTTGTGCTTCGGTAGCTTGGGTGAACCGCAAAGCGGTGGTGCATATGCGAACTAGTTACCTTAATGTAGTTACTCTCGTCTAGAGTGAAACGGTGATATAAGCCAGCCGGAAGGACAATCATGTCCCCTTTCTTCGTCCATATTCTAATCCAGCGATCTGCGGAGTCTCTAACATCAAAATAGCCTGCGAACAATGAAGATGAAGGCGCTGAGTGGTCGTTATGTCATTCTCTTGCTGAATAATTACTTAATGATTCCTATGATTAGATGTACTCAGAGGCACGAACCCTAGGCAGCAAATTTGGCAATCAATAGGAAGAGGGATACCCACCACTACCGTCGATACAGTATCTAATTTCTTCATCCGTATGAATGTGTTCTTCATAAAAGCTCTTAATCTTCCGTTCATACTCGGGTAACGAGGTCGGAGACACATTGATTATATCCTGCAATATGGAACGAAGCCAGATTCTCATTCAGTGGAGGGACCATGCAATCTTCCTACCCGGTGCTCCTACGCCGAGTCTTATGATATGCTATCCGAAACAACGTCATCTTCGCTCTTCACTCTCAACTTTCTAGACCATGAACCGGCCTTCGACGGAACCGCGAAGGCCGTCGTTAACGACGTAGTCGATCGAGCAGTCAAGAAACAGCAGCGTTTCAGTAGCGTATCGGAATTTTCTTTCCCGAACAGTTCCTGTGCGCTGTTCCGGTGACAACCTAGAGCTTTTCACTAGATTAGGAAGCTGACAAAAGGGTCTTGCCTATCAAATAAGATTGTGTAAGAGGTGGGTCCGAGAATCTAGTGTAGCACAAAACATGACAGCTTTCTCGCCTACGCTATCGTAGAATAATTGGCAAAGAACCGGTACGCTCTACAGCCATCCGGCGCTGGTACGAGTCCAACCTATAAAGTAGTCAAATGAAAATTGCAGCTAAATAACTTCCGGGTGAGAGATGCAGTCCAACACGGCAGAAGCGGCTGACCTGATAGGTGTAGTTCCGTTCCTTGCGAATTTTTTCCAACTCCGGATCATTCTCAAATTTGTCAGCGTCGAGATGCCACTGAAGTACTCCCAAGTCTGCTGTCAAAGAAATTATTGCATATAAGATCAGAAAGCATACGGGAGCCCAAAAAATCAACAACCTTCCGCTCGATGAAAGAAGCACAGCGGTAAAAGGGGTGAAATTCCCTGACCAATTTCAATTGAAAGTCCTCTTTGCTACATAAAGAATGCTACAAGCACGTGTGATAATTGAATTCAATTGGTTGTCAGTCAAAAAATACTGCAAATTCTATTCACTCTGCTTCCAGTAGATTAGGAACATTGCAGATTCCCGAATCCACAGAAGGCTCTCAATACTTGCTTGGTCCATAATAAACAGGGCCACGTTGCCTACGTCAAGATGTGGCTGCCAGATTATGATGAGAACCAGAGAGATTGAGCTCGGATCAAACACATCAATCCTAGTGTTTTCGGTAGGGAGGAAGAAAGCGCGTAGGGAAACCTGCTAGATCTCTCGCCGACACCGGCTTATTTGGAACGAGGCGATGAGGTAAGCGCTGATCCTCCGTTGAATCGTCCATGTACCAAGCTTCGACTCCTGAAGAATGTGGCTGCTCCACATCCTGAAATGCTAACAGCAAATTCAACAAAAATATGAGCTCTCTATCAAATTCCAACCCGTCCGCTAAATTCACCGATGATCAACCCCTCAAAAATGAACTACATGTTCGAGCAATCCACAAACAGAATCGCTTTCCCAGAAAAAGAGAGGCACGCTCTCACGCTTCACGGATCACCAATCCCAAACAGCACTGAAAAACCACACGTGCCATCCGCGACGACCTCTCTCAGAAATCTTCTTGACTACCGTACGGCACCCTCGCATTCACAAACAGCGACGAATCTTCGGACCGAATTCCACACGACCACGCAACGCAAAATCAAAACAAACAGGAATCCCGCGCCGCGAAGCACCGGACACCGCAGATAATCCAAGCATCCAAGAAACGACGGGGGCATCGCGGGATCACCTGCAATCCCATGGCTGCGGCTCACGACCGGTCCAAACCCCGTGAATTGTCGCCAAGAAATTCGCCCGAGCGACCTGCGCGAGCGCACAGAGAGAGGGAGAAAGAGAGAGACAGGAGAGCACTGACGCCGCGCAATTGGTCGAGCGTCGCGAGTTGTTTCGATGTCCGCAGAGCAGAGCAGTGCAGCGCAGCGCAGCGCGGGGTCTCGTTCGTGCACCTCGAGAGCCTCTGGTGAGTGCGGAACGGGCCAATTTGTCGCCTTCTTATGTATAACACATGGCTCCCTCGGACGGCGTGGGCGCCTCTCCGTCCACCGTCCGACGCGCCACGGCTTCGACGGCGCCGTCGTCGTCGTCGTCCTTGTCTTCCTTTTGTTGGTTCTTTTCGGGGCGTCGCTTCCCTCTCTCTCTCTCTCTCTCTCTCTCTCTCTCCCTCCGTCTCTCCCTCGGCTTCGTTATAAATCTTATGGCCACTCTCTTTCGACGATTGGATAATTCGGGTCTCTCCTCCCTATCCCCTTCCCCGTGTGCGCCTCCGAAATTCTGTCCTCATCGCCAAATAGTTGGAATATTCTACACGCTTGGCGGTGCCGTTTTGTATGTTTCGATGTGCTCCATGAGTCTTCGATGACATTTTCGACTTTCTCTTTTCCGAGAAATTCATCTCATGGAAATGAGTACCCGACGTTTTTGTTCTCGAGTTGACCGACTGAAGAGAATTATTTCCTCCCTCCTCCTTGTGATTTTCACTTTGGGTTTCATGCTACTCTTGGAATTTGTACACGATGGTGGCTGATCTCGTGTGTGCTCTCTTGTCATATTATGTTCTCATGAGCTTTCATGTGGACACTCAGGCATCTGTTCTCGTTCTTTTCTACTCTTTACGCGATTTTTAGCTTATTGCATGAGGCTCTCAATGATATCCATTCCAAGGGATGCCCTTCCTAACTGGCCATGACATGGAACCTTGAGTTTTTCTAAAATAGCTCAATTCTTCATTGTCAGATATGCTATTTTCTTTTTCCTTTTCTTTGCTAAGAGGAAAAGACATCTAAACACTTGATGCCATGTACAGCATGGAACGATCGAAACATACGGTCCGAGTAGACTTCCGAGAGAGTTCTGTGTTATATGGTCCGTGTGGTATGTAACATAAAAAAAAACACTGCTCAATTCTTAATACCTCATACAGTTTCATATCGCTGCATGTAGCATGAAATTATTAAAAAATATAAAGTTTTACGGATATCTGGAAGTCCTGTTCTATTGTTCTTGTAGAAAATTTGGATTCGAGATAAGAACCCCTGAATAAAGCCTCGAAAAAAGGAGGCTTTATTTCAAAAGAATTCTTTTGAAAGTGAAATAGTGCCATCATTCACATTTCGTATCCATAGGCAATGATCCCTCTCTAGCTTCACCCGCACGCCGATCGCAGGGCCATATGCAGACTCATGTCTTCGTGGCCATTGTTGTGGGTTTAGTTGTATGGCTTAGTCTCTACGTAAACCAGTGATCTTCATTATCCTAAACATTATTCACTCCCTCAGACCACTCACTCTCCGGTTCATATGAGCTAAAAACTAGAAGCCTTAAAGTTCCAAACAAGCTTCAAGGCCAAGAAATTTATTTAAGGAACCTTTTATTCCTCTTTTTTGGCTCTATCATGACTTACTATTTAAAGACAATCAACACTAAGTCCACTTGGTAGGACTTTGCGTTGAAATACATGCATATCCGACGATCACAAAAAGGCTTATGTACATGTATATCTTGGTCAATCAAGTGTACACGTTAATGATAGTGGATACCAATAAGACGCACTTGATATGTTCATATGAAATGTTATGGAATGTAGAGCGATATGATGGACCACAGATATTAAAGTGGCTGGATTTTAATAGGCTTGTAATACACATCATACGGGACCCGCGAGAGTGACACTCTACTGGGCTCTCGAAAGATCTATAACCTCTTGGATATTTATGATGCTTGACTCCAAAAAGGAGCATTTTGCAACAAATCAACTCTATATAGAAACCTAGCCTACGAACATGAAAGTAAAGGGAATTTCTTTTCGAGAAAGCATTTCATTGGTTGCTGTTCTCGTATTTTCTAGTTTCTTGTGAAGCTATAGCTTCGAAATCTCGAACATCCACACCTTGTACACAAATAAATCTAGGAAAAGGGGATCACATACAAATCTGGACCTCCTTCAAGCCTTCAAGAATTTGAGGGGGGAATTAATAAAAGGGGGAGGAGAGCGAGGAAAACAAGTGTATTACCTCACGAGTAGCATCACTGGGACATCTGCTTTTCAGAGAGCTCGTATGATTAGCCACATCATCAAAAGGCAAAGGTTTTTTCCAAAGAAAAAGATTGTGTGCGTGAAGCATATGGCGATCTATTCCGAAGGTTACGACATCATAGACCAGAAGTGAAAGGCTCGAAGACAAAAGAGATGAAGCTCGAAGAATGGGATAAACACACAGCAATAGTTAGCAAAGGTTAATGCCAAAAGCTCACAAATTGAGTCCTTTATCAAATAGAGGATATATGAGGAAACTACAAAGATTAATTTTATAATACACAATAAGTGAGTTAAGCACTTTTTTGGGGTTTATTGAAAGTCGACTGGTGTTGTAAACCCCACCTTTAACTTTTTGCTGCCACACTTGGGGAGTTGCATAAAAGTTGCCAAATTAATGGTTTCTAGTAAAAACAAAAGAATACAGATGCCATAGATGTTAAACGAGGAGAGGAAACTTAGGAAACCTCTAATAAAGACGGTGTCTTTAATCTAGAAGGGGATAAATTGCGGTATATTACTTAAAATATATTAAATTAAAATTTAAAATTTAAAATTGCGGTAAATAAACTATTTTTCGTATCGAGTTTGCCGTCAACAGAAGGAATTCATAGTATGTGAGTAATGCCTAGCATGGGAGAAGGGACATGGCCATTAATTCGTCATGAGACTTTGTTGAGAAAAAAAATATGACATCACAATAATAAAAGAGAAAACGATATCATGACGGCCAACGATGGCATCAGAATTCGTCAATCACAATCACTCCCTTGCCATCCGGTTAGTTAGTACAGGAGATACTCGCGAGCCGTATGAGTCCTGTAGACAAATAAAAAGCTCAGTACCTCGCGACTCTGTGGAATTCAGCTCCCCTTGCAGACGACGTGACTAACCAACCCATCGGTACGCACCGATGCTGTCAGCGACGTAGTCGATCCGAAGGACAGCAACACGACCGTATATCACGCATGAATATGAAATACAGTATTAATACAGTATGTAGTCTTTCGGACACCACAGGAGTTGTATGGGTGCTGTGGGATTTGCACCCGGTGCATTGATGAGACTAGCCAACCCACAACGCATCTGGTGTGGCTTAGCGTACCGGTACGTACCGGTGGCTACAGGTCCAGTAGACGGTTACGGTGGAACGAACCTTGTACAAGTTAAAACAGGACTGCACTTTTTAGTCAAGGATATTTAAGATTCATTTGCATATATTTATTATTCTGATACTATTGGAGGTTAGCCTTTTGGTTTCATCCATGTGCAGATTGGCGGGCTTCTTCTCCTTTTGGCTATATTACTTGGTCACTCCTCTTTTCTATTTATGTAAAGTGGCGAGGTTGATGGAATGTAGCGAGGGGGGCAATTTGTTTATTTTGTTTGACCCAGTCTCTGGAATGAGAATGTGTTGTCAGATTTTTTTTGCATTTCCTTGTGCCTTTGGGGACTGGAAACAATTGCATCTAGTCGCAGAGGATTCTGGCACCTAAATTCTGTAGTACCGGACTCGCGTTTACCCAGCCTTATGCATGTAGGAAACCGGGGTTCTCTCTCTAACCGTCTCGTTTGGTTCGATGGATTTCTTCCACCTCCTTTCCTCTCAGTTTTTTTATCCGTGTTCTGCCTGTCTTGCTCTCGTGCCAGCAAACCCATACATGTATTGTTGTTGAAACTAAAGAAACATAGTTGGTAAGAAAAAGGAACCTTCCAACTAAAGTGAATATCAATCATCGAACTAAAATGTTGAAACATCATAAGTATTAGATTCTGTGCGCATTACAAATCACGGATATACATTTTGTACTCACATCATCCTTGGTTTTTACATCATAGCAATCTCATATTAGTCATCCATAAAAAATTTAATTATCGTATGACATTCTAGGTATGTTCGCTCTCAAAACCTAGTCGATCACATAGTGCATGTGTTGTCCTTAACCATTAAACTATATACTTTAGCATTAACCAAAAAAATGTATGATAGCATGATAGGTTATAGTATCTTGGTCCATGTGCTTCACTGTGCATTTTAATTTTTACAACTTGATCACGTTAAATAATGAGCTTGAAAATTCCAATGAAAAGGTGGAAAAAAAATGACGTGTTTTGAAAGAGTTTGGGTTCTGCCGCTTTCATATTATAAAAAGAGAGTAGTTCATCGTTTATGTTTGTATTACTTTTGATTTTTAATGATTTGATAGAAATGAATTATGCAAACCTCTCGCCATCGAAACAGGAACGGAGTTAAATCTGGCACGTAGTTGGGTGGGCCAAAGTCACCTGACAGAAATGAAAATGGCATGATGGAGTTATATCCTACGATACCATGATACGAGAAGCTTAGGTTTCAGTCATACGATGGCAACATGTTTCCTGTCCGCTTGCAGGAAATGACTTTCTCATTGAACCGAGATACAAAAAATCCACCCGGATACTTATGTACATCCGAGGTAGTGGTCTACTTGCGGTATGGTGCACCGTAGAATAAATTCGTCAGATGTAACATGATGACTATTCTTATCAATCGAATGCTCGGAATCCAATTGGATGCATGAGAAATGAGGCGGCACCTTTTTGACTTGCTTCCATCAGAACGAACTTCGCCGTAACGAAATCGATACGCAGTTTGATGCTCTGATATTTGTGTACGTCATCCCGTGCCCACCTCTACGTCGTAGTCGTCGTCGGTCTGGCCGGTCGGACGTGACCGGACGGGCTTGGACGCGACGATTTGACGAACGAACAATCGGACTGCGTTAGCGCGCTAATTGGTCGAATCAGTGTTTTCGAGCGCTCCGTAGTCGTACGGGGTTTAGGGTTCTTCGTCGACCGGGATCTGATTTCCTGTCTCCCTTTCCCGCCTCGAGCTCGTTGCGCGTTTGGAGGTGCGAATTTCGATTCTCCTGCTTCGGGGCTCGTGGTCGGTGATTCGCGACGAGCAATGGCGGTACGTACTCGTTTCTCCCCGCGGTTCCTGAATTGTTGGAATTTTTAGTTCGTTTCTGGTTGTGTGATTACCCCGTCGGTTGCATTTGATCGGTACCTTTGTCGATTATATCTTTCGATCGCTCCGCGGTCGCTTCTGTCTTGCAAGAGCTCATTTTGCTTGCGGCTTGTCTCGGGTAATGTCTATATTTTTTCTCTTCTCAACTTCTCTTTCATCAAAATCAACCTTTTCTTTCTGCATTTCTTGCCTTCTGTCTGGTCGCGTAACATGGGCGTTTTCCCGCGTTTAGTTTCTCGGGCTGGTTCTCCAGTGCTTATTAACTCGCCGTGATTGCATTATTCTATTGACTTTGTTTGCCTCCGAAGCAATTTGTTGTAGCCAGTGTATCGTGCTCTCCCGACTTTCTACAATTGTTATGAATGGAACTGCAGACTGTACCCGTTAATCCGAAGCCGTTCCTCAACGATCTGACGGGAAAGCCTGTCATCGTGAAGCTCAAATGGGGGATGGAGTACAAAGGTAGAAATTGGCATGTTCTGGTTTTGACTTCCTTACACTTGCAGGTTACAGTTTCAGCAGCATTTAGGGTTTATCACTTCTGATATTAATTTCGCGATCCTTGAATGTCCAATTTTACAAATGTCTAAATTTTGAATGTTACTTCAACAGGATATCTGGTATCAGTCGATTCCTACATGAACTTGCAGGTAACGTACTTTTGAAACTTGTCGCTAGCCCTGGGAAACCAGCTCCTTCTTTCAAATTTCTGTTGTCATGTGGATCTGCATTGAATTGCCATCCTTCTGATTTGGGAACATCAGTTATCATCGGGGTTTATCAATAACCAACGTACAGTTTAGAAAAGTATTGGAGCTTGACTACTGGCCTGTCTCCTGATGCAGCTTGCGAGTACTGAGGAGTATATTGACGGGCAGTTCACAGGCAATCTTGGAGAGGTGCTTATTAGGTAAGCCTTACCTAACGAAGTCCGTTTTGTCATACTTCTTTCATGCATGCCTACCGTTCTTTGAACTCGTGTACATGTAGAAACTCGATGCAGTTACTCCTACTCTTAAGATTCATGCGGATGAAGGCCGGAATTCACGGGTTACCTGAAGGCATGGTTGTATCCGCGCTAGCCTTTGGGTTGGGAAAAGACGGGCATGTACCGCGTAGGGTCTGCACTAGCTCAACGAGATGGACTTCTCTATGAATTCTAGCACACCGTCGAGTCGTACTCTATCTAGTGTAATTGCAACTTCCCCCCCTTACGTCAAGTGGTGGTGTTTGTTTCAGATGTAACAACGTGTTATACTTGCGCGGTGTACCGGAAGACGAGGATGCCGTTGAGGAAGATGAATAACGAGTTGCTTTCAGATACGACTGTTGTGTAGATATAGGACAGTACAACCTAGAGTGCTCTTTTTACAGATTAGATACAAGCTTCGCACTGTGAACTGGAATTTTTTCTTTGGTCGAGGACCAATATTCAGATAAAGCTTGGGTTTGCAGCTTGTTTGGAGGACCCAAAAGTTGGATCCAATTTTGTTAGTGGTCAAGGGTACTGTATAGTATAGTACTGTAACTCTTGTTTGCCACATGCCAAAGCGCAGTCTACATACCCTGCTGGATGCGTTAGTAGCTGTTGAGCTGAGATAAAAAGTGCAACAAAAATCTGCCGGCAAGTGCATGAAATTCCAACGTTGTGTCCTACTAGTGAAACGTTCATGTATCTTTCCCACTTGTCGAAGGCAACTGCCAGCCTCGACGCTCACCCATCTTTCAAGGTTTTGTACTATTAGAGATGCCAATATGAAATTTAGATTTTCCGAGATGAAGTGCATTTTCTGGGAGGCAGGTTGGCTTGATCAAATTCAATTGTACGTTCACGAATGGACGCATCGTCCTCCACTCTGAGTCACTGGACCGACCCTGTCACTGCACCTGCTTGTACCAGGTCTCTCCTCTCCTTTTTCCAAGTCTTCAATTTTCACACTTCACTGCTGACGAGACCCCTTTTCTGCATGACACTCAAGTGAGGATGCTGCTGCGACGACTGAAGCTGCGTCGTGGAGCCACAGTCCGAAGCTACGGACCTGCACCCTGGCAAATCTGACCATAGAATACGAGGAGTCGGCAAAGTTTCAGATGGTAGGTACATGGCCGGTTGCGTAGGGCCCTCGGACCGCCCTACTGTACTGATTGTAACCGACCATCGGCTCTACACCATCCATCCCCTTGTCTCCTCCGTCACACCGCCCTGTTGGGATTCCGTAGGCTGCATTATGGACGTAGAATTTCGATTACAGTAGATTGCTGTGAAATGAGGCCCGAGTGATGAAAGTCGGCCCGAACTAGAACTGGATGAAGGTTCCTATCGAATGAAGAGCGTTGGTCGCCCGGAACATGGTGGCAGCGGGTCCCAGGAACTGCAGCCCGACCGGTCCAGAAGGTGGCATGTACAGGTCGAGGGGAGATGAACCTGTACGAGATTTCGATACCAAATTGTGGGCCTCATCATTTCAGGCCTGCGCGCGCGCACTGTAGGTGGAAGCATCATCGGCCAATTTACCGCATGGTCGCCAGGCGGGATGGAAGCACATGGTCTGCATGGGTGTGGACAATTTGCCAAGCCCCGGCTGGTTAGCAGCAGCAGCAGCTGGCGGCCCTGCCTTCCGGAAGCACACGTGGTGAGGACACGGCTACATCTTCGCAGCACCCGCCACAGCCCGAGTCGAGGTTCAGTTGTTCAATCTTCCAACAGCTCGACGAGATAGAAGATACTCTTTCGATTCCGGTATCATTCCTGCGCAGATGCTCCCCCTAGAAACGCTTCAAAATTCCTCCGCAATGTGATCGGATCGGTAAGCATGACGAGGGCCGGGGAGTAGTCACCCGCCAATCGGTCTGAGACATGTCAAGGGCGTGCGTGGTCAGGCCCCGTATCCCTCTCTCTCACGTCAAGGATTTTTCCTCTACTTTTTGGGTGTACGCTTTCTTCGTAGCCGCCGACCTGTTACACACACGCACAATATAAAATTGTCGTCGCCGAATGCGCTAGGTTTCTTCGGACAGAATGAAATCATGGTTCCGGAAAAGGGAGCAGAACTCGGAGTTTATCGATCCGTATGGTACTGTTCGGATTACACACTCGCGAGCAGTCGTGACTGCTGGATGCGCACGGACCCCACCTCCACAACTTTCTCGCCTCAAAGGTAGCTCACATGTTTGTATCGGACGACAAGCAAAAGGCTCACAGAAATTGGTGCGAAGCCTGAATGATAAGGGACAGATGTCCTTGCTTCTGTACACTCTCCCCCTCGCAAAGTCGGTTACTACTGCGCTGATATAGATTTGTCCCACTTGCGGGTGACAGGTGATGAGACCGACTTTTTCGATTTTCATCCGTCTGCCCGTGCACTTTGTCAGTTTCTCACGTCAAGACCTACTTGTCTTAGAAAGAATTTTAAATGGAGATCCACAACCCGAGGACATATTCAGAATCGATGGTAACCTATAAGCTGCACTACGATTCCCACTTCACAGCCTCTTTGCTGTGCTTGACATTAATGCAGTCGCCGGTCACAGAAGAGGGCCGTCTATGCCGACCGACCGACCATGCCCCTTCAGGCAGGGGAGGAAATACCTTCTAGGGCGACCGACTGCCTCCCGGGCGAAAACATAATTTAAAACCGTCAACATCTGTTGCACATTTGATTCTGCACCTATGAGATAACACGAAATCTTTGAAGATGTCAAAAAAAGTCCAAACTGCGGTCATGCCAAAAATGTGGCAGAGGTGGCGAGAAGGTCACAGTAAACGTGTGCAGATTTATTATTTCGAAGTTATTAATCTGCCAAAATCAAGGCACTTCGCCTTCTATACTCCCAAATACAAAACTCTCGTCAGTATCCGCGTTACCATAAGACCACATTAAAGAAAGATTATAATACTGGTCATATCTGTACACTCATTGGGTGCTTCAGGGAGCTCAATCTCCGAGGAGCAAAAAATGCAAAGTGGGAGGCGCGGGGCCAGAAAAGTGGACATGATTTGAGTTATAACTACAACCTGCACCTGCCTTTCCCCGCTGAACTTAACTACTCAAATCTCAACAGGATCTGGGTGTATATTGAAAGGAAGTCGCTGACAAGCTTATGTCCCACACATCGCTGACCTTCAACCATTTGTACCCCCAGTAAAGAATGTTCATACAAAATTGTTCCGAAGGCTCGGCGCACGACGACCGACCAAAGCCCTCTCGAGGAAATACGAGCCTAGACTCGAACAACGTTCTCCGCGGGGCCTACATTGCGTGTCCCCACATTCCAGGAATTGCTGCTTTTCCTGCTGAAAGTGGTTCCCATATTTGGAGGCGGTCTTCCTCTATTATGAGTAGAGGGTAACTTACGCTTGGACCAACGGCGAGAAGACTGCACCAACGATTGCCCTAGAAGGACTGCAATTTGTGATGCCATTTCTCCGGCCTCTTCTTTTTGAGGAAAAAGATCTCCAGGGAAATGTTGACTCAGCCACAGATACATTGATAATACCTGAACAATTTAGAAGATTTCAGTGTCGATTTCAGATTTCACTCTCAACTTCTTGGGAGTTCTCAAGAAGTTGTTTGCAAGCTAAAGATAAAAGAATCATTTTGGAGAATGACTCTATAATGAGTTCTTTCGTCCTTCCAAGTTCCCGTTTTGATTTCGACCCAGGCAATGTAGGCTCACCACATCGCTGTCATAAAAGACGATTAGGACTCTTTGCCTCGAGTGTACTGCAGCAACAGGCACAAATGTTAACCTACTTTTGATCTCTTGCGGAGTTACCTGATGTCGTGCTTCGAGATCAAGAAGCTCGAACTCGTCTCTAGCAGAGCTTGAAGGTACACCCATTTCGACATGAACAGGTATTTTCTGACTGAATGCAGTTGCGTAACGATATAGAGCTCCCATCGATTGTGGATCTCTTACATTTACCGGTGCAAAACAAAAATTGAAACGGTCCTCCAACGACAATCCTTTCACCTTCTCTAGCATGTTGGCAACTCTCTGGAGCATCAAAACAGCCAAAGACCACAGTTGAGTACACAAAATCAAGTGAGGAGCCAAAGACAAGCAGCAATTCTGTGCAACAGGCATTCGAATGCTTTTGCGAAATACTAACGTAAACGCTAGAACGCTAGAAAACGCAATTCTCGATTGGATGAAATTGGTCAGATACACAGTACGTACCTTAAGATTGTCATAGCGACAGAGAAAGTATGCACCATCCAGTTTGCAGGTTTCAGAAAACCTGTAAATGATGAAGCCAGATTAACTCTTGGGAAAGAAAAAAAATTTAAGCTTTACGGTTTACGACTGCCAAAAAGCGCTTGAAAGCCACTACCCATTTCCACGAGTGCATGGTCTCAAAACCTGGCAACTTTACTTTCAGTAACATGCCAGAAAACCGAGAAGGTCGCTAAATTTCATGACACGTCTATCCTACGTCTTAAGGGACGTTCTGCAGTTGATAAGACGTACCGCTCGAGAAGCTTAGCAAAGTTCTCATTCGGAAGCTGGCTAGCAAAAAGCTCCACCTGTTGCAACATAATCCGTTCTTCAGAAGTCCATATGTCTCAATTCCATTCAACAACTTGAAGCCACGTAACTGTTTCTAATCGATAGCTCCGTAGTCATTATCATGTGATTCGTACCTGCTCGTATACGGGAAAAAGGCCTGCAGCAGTGGACGGCTCAAAGTCTTGTAACAAGGAACTGCCTAAGTATGCCAGGTCCTGAGAAAAAAATGTGGTAGTCACTCCCTCCGGATATATACTGCCCCTTCGGCCCGCTCTGCCCGCTATTTGCTTGACCTGCATTTATGTTAAGCCTCTGATCAAAATGAATCGGTGAAGGATTGCCATCATGAAGGTCCAATGGTGGATTAGAGTGGCATCAGATCCGCATGTAAAAAACATTACCTGAGCTGGTGGCACCGGCTTCTTCGAATCTCCATCGAACTTGTCAAGGGAAAAAAAAACAACACGTCGAATGTTCAAATTCAGTCCCATACCAATGGCATCACTTGCCACCAGGACATCATACCCATTGTCCTGCTCGTTGAAAAGCTTTGCCTGCTGGGTTCTTGTCTCCGGAGGTAGAGCCCCGTAAACCACACAACACCGGTGCTTCGTAGCCAATTCCACCTCTCGCTGCGAACAAATTACCAGAACACATGAATCACATTAGCGACGGTTATTCTTTAGTTCGAGATGAAAAAGGGTCGCTTGAGGATCGGGGGTTCATCGGCTCGTTTAAATTCTAAAATTAGTCTCTAACAGAAAGGCAATCAGAAGGAAAACTTTCAACAGTTACAAGTAACAGCTCTCCTCATACACACTCTTGCAAGTAAGAGTACACGAAGCTTACTTTAATATCAAAGATATCCCTGCGAGAGAAAGCCACAATGCAGTCACCAGCTTGTATATTTCTAAAATCACCCCTAAGAGATTCCTGTAGAAGAAGCCAATAGAGTCGTTAGTGACATCACTCTAGACAAGGGTGTGTCCGGGAAGAAAGGAAGATATTCCAACTTTGAAACACAAAACACTACCTCAGAAGAAACCAGATGTCAACAGGGACTTCCACTCAATGTAGCTACAGTTAAATCAGCAGATCTTGAGTTGAAAGACAACATAAAGGACCAAACAAGAGAGTAAGCTACTGACCTCTGAAACCTTCAAGGGTTTGAAACGCTCGTACTCGTTTTCCACCAATTCATCACCCGTACCAGCACAGAGGTTGCGGATAAGAGGAAGAGCGCTAGGATCTCCACAAACGTGGATTTCGTCCGCTTGCAAACCCAAAAATGCTCTCGTCCAGGCCCATCCGCGATACTCATCACTCATCATCTGAAACCAATGTAAGTTTGGTGAACTTTCAAAGACATGAGGTTTCTATCACGTAAGACTGTACGCATCAGTACTTGCCTAAAGATCATAGACCCCGCCACCTGGCTGGGCGGTGTCCATGCGGGGAGAGAGAATTTTCAATGACCAATCTGCGAGTCACTTTATTCAAAGCTATTCAATTAACGTGCTATGTCTCAAACAGTTTCAACCGAACGTTTCCAAACTTTTACAGATGTTATTTCTTAACGCACACTGACCTGAATTTCATCAATAACGGCTACTTCCCACTGCTTGTTTAGGTAACACATCTCGATCGTGCATGCCAAGTGGTTAGCAAACGGCACATCTTTCTTCTCCTGTCCTGTATGGAGATTACAATAAACTCCTTGCATGTTGACAGTATCAAAGACCTGAAAAAAACCAATTTGCAATGAGGAAGCCGAAGCGGTGAATTCAAAGATAATAACCATCAAACGAGAAGGCAGCCATTTAGTTATATGAATCGCCCGTACTTAAATTCAAAATTCAATGTGTCTTCTGTCACCTCCGATTATTGCCAAAGGCATACGCCATGCTCTACTCGTACTTGAAGCGGAACTTCCTTCGTAGGCTATTTTCTTTACAGGAATACATCCAGACCTAATCTACTCTACACGCCATGCAAACGGAATGAATGCCCTAAGCATCACGGTCAACCTTACCTCCATGGCAAGGAGGCGAAGAGGACTGCAATATATCCCTGACTGTGCCTCCATAAGTCTTTTCAAAGCTTTGTACGTCTTGCCGCTGTTAGTTGGACCCTTATGATATACCACTTTACGTTTCATTGCTCTGGCAAACGGGTACCTGGTGCATTATGCGTGTACATCAGTAGGCAATCAAAACTGAAGACAGGACAATGCCACTTTTGGCGTCGGCACAATGGAGTTCTAAGAACCTGTTCTTTCTATCCATGACAATAACTAGTGCTTCACAACTGTAGTTCTCACCAGGCGTCAGGTTTTGTCATATCCGCAGTGCTCACAAGTTCTCGGTACCGCCGTATTTCATCGGAAAACTCCTGTATGCAAAACTCTGCGAAACTTGGAAACAAAAACTGCAAGGCATCGTTGGTAGCCCCTTTCGCTACGACATAAGACCGCAGTTCTGGCGAAGATCGGTGCATGAAAAACTTCCGAAATTTTGAAGCCGCAGTATGGAAAAACTTGGAGTTGATGTACAACGACAGGGCTTGATCGGAAACCCATCTGCATAAGGCGCAACATGTTGCTTAAACCTTCAAAATCATTACTTTGATCTCCAAGTTCAAAGAAACATGGTGATAACAGTCACTTTGTATTCACTTCAAAAACAGGGGAAAAAAATTGCTAGAGAGTGAAATCGAGAACGTTCATTCGACATTGATGGGAGGAAGAGAAGTACCCGGACACAGAGAACCGATAAAATAAGCTGTTCAATTTTACTCTTTCCTGGCCCTGAAATGCTCTACCCCCTTTGCTTCCTTGCAGAATGCGGTACACCTGAGTTGGGTCAGTGTAATCTGCTCCATCCACCGGTGCATTGACGGCCGAGACACTTCCTGCTTTGAAGCTTGCGCCGGGGTTGCCGTTTGTCGACTCCCCCGTACTTCTACCTGTGACCTTGGCCGTCTTTTCTTTGTCCAGATCCTTCAGGTGCTCCTCTACAACACTAGTAAAAGATGTCATACGTAACTCCTGCTCATTCGGGGTGATTTCTGCTCCGAATATTTTCGGGCTCGCGGCAGCAATGCCCTCTTTCTTATCCTCGGAAAGTCTGTCCGAATTCCGAGTACTTTTCCGAGAGCCATCAGCAACGATCCCAACTTCTCCATCGCTTTCGAGCACCTGCGCTTTCCTCCTCCTCGGTTTCTTCACAGGAGTCTCCCTGCCACTCACACTGGCTGTGAGTCCCTCGTCCCCTCCCTGTCCTTCTTCCCTGAGTCCATCGGCAGCTACTGACTCTCCTACCTTCTTCTCAGCCTCAGATCCTTCCCCCGCCAAGCCAGCAAATCCTCTTGACACAGTCGGAATAGAACCAAAAATTTTGCCAACATTGTTCCCGAGAAGTAGAACTGAAGAAGGTCCCGAACCCAAAGCTACGCCAATCCTCCTCCTAAACTGAATCGGGAAAAACTGCTCCAAACCCTCTTGTCGAAAAGGCGGTAAATTCTCGGGAAGCAAGAAAGAATTGGGAGGGAATGAAAATTCTTTACCAAGCCCGTCCTGGAGAGGACGAGAATGAGCAGAAGAGGAAGGGGGAAAAGGAGAAGCTGGCTGCGATCTAGGGTTTAAGGCAGAACCACAATTCAGACTGGCAGAGCTTTGCGAGGGCTTCGCCCCGTCGACCACAAAACCCTCCGTCGCCGATCGCGGAGAGCTGCAAAATCGGCGTCGAAGCGATCGCCTCACCAGGCCCTTCAGCACTTCGAATTGCTGCCTCCCCATTGCCGACAAAATTCTCCGCAAATCTACCCTATTCTGCTCGCCCACGACTTGTAAAAGTCATGAGTCGATCGCTAGCTCGCTCGTCGCACAACACACTCTTCTTCTCCCACCACCTCCTCGTCCTCCTCCGTCCGAACCCCGAGCCCCGTCGAGCTCAACATTCGTGGCCGCCACCGCCGAATTTCGCAGTTCCGGCCCTGCGACGATCGCACGACGAACTCTGTTCCCGTCGTCGTGGCAGATGGCAAGCGGCGCCCCTCTGTCCCCCTCGACTCTTCCGGTCCTTGGGATCGGTTGGTCCGTCCGCAAAAGGGTCCTAGCTAAGGACCGACGGATGTAACGGGACATGACTTCATCCACTGCTTCCCGAGTTCTCCAAGTTGCCTGCGAAGCTACAAAAGGCAGTGCCCCATTTTCCCCATAAAGGTATTGGTCCTTGACGTGGCGTTCTTTTCTTCAACGGGCCGCTAGATTGTTTCTTCCATTCATTTGTTTGCATAAGCAACCCTTTGGTTGGACGATAAATTAGTAATGCATTGTCTACGTTCCGGAATTACTTACATATTACTTTGACATGGATCTCACATTTCTGGTTTCTGGTTCTAGTTCAACTCGTACTAATTATGGTCTGGTTTGTGTGAACAGATTGCAGCATTGAACCTACGAGAGATATTGAAGTTGACATAACTTCCAAAGAGTGAAAAGCAACTAATGAGACAAACAACTGGAAAATCTCAACAAAGCTGACATAGATGAAAGCAAATGTGTGACATGAAGGTAGTTTAAATATCAATTATATACTTTGTTTATTATGCACCCAATATACCTAAGTCAAGCAGTCTACTAACAACAATACAGATCAATGAGCAACATCTAACTTCATTCATTCACCGGCATTGGGTATTGCTATTTGAAGCATGTGAACTAAAATAGAATATGAAATACATTTCAAAGCCATTATCTCGTGCCATGTAGTAATGTAGAATTTCAAGATAAACATGTTGCCGAATGTTAACATACAAAACAAAATTGTTTTGCAATAGCGATCACACGTCACGGATTGTTTCACCCCTGCATGACAAACTGAATTTCCGACTATTTACTAGGTTACTAAAAGCACAACTCCTGCGGAAGTTCATATGTCTTCATGCAAATTTGAGCCTAATCACGTTCATTCCTTGCAGTTACTTTAGAAGCAAATCTTTCCTTCTGTCTCTCCAGGTCTAACATGAGAAAACGCAGCGATATGATACTAGTGGTGCTTCAAAGTTAAAAAAACCTTGGAGATAATCGAATGCTGATGTAGAGAAAAGCATCCAAGTTGGTGAACGAGTCTTCACTGTTGCACGTAGAATGAAGCACGAATGCATGCGAGGGAAATGCATGAATTCTCAATATTTCTTTCCACCTTTAAGGTGTCATGTAGTTTTCGGTATTTTGCTAAAAATAGTGTCGAGCTTAGGGTTTGGGTCGCGAGGGGTATATAGTCGGGGAGGGCTCGAAGAACGTCAATTCTTCGAGTCAAGCCTAGTGCGTTGGGAGTAGTGCCCGGGAGCATCGACCTGCAATCTCCGAGTGTGGAGTGGGTTTGGCTTGACTATGTTTGTGACGGTGACGGTTTTGGCAGTAGGGTAAACGAACGACGGGAATTTCAGTGAGGAATCTCCCGTTTATTTCACTCGAAGAACTCTCGACGTTTTTGTGTGTACCAGTTTTACGTTCTGTTCAGCCTCTTCATGTTTTCATCGTGTGTTTCTCCCTTTTGCCGCTTGTTTGTGTGTACCTCTGAGCAATTTCAGTAGGTGTCAGAAGTTGAGTGTTTGAGGGAATCGTAGTTTCAAATCGAGAAATAGGTGCAAAAAGATTCTCAGATTTGCGGTTGAGAAGTAAGATTTCGTAACAGTGGGTGTTGGTTCAGAGTTAGAATTTGAGTATGCTTCAATGTTTCTGTTCTTATGCGACGTCAATTTTGGGAGCTGAGTTTAGTCGGTGCCGAAGACATTTCTATAAGGAGTACATGTGACATTGCTCACTGTTGGAGTTAGAGTTGTAGTCGCTGCTCCAGAAATCAACAGAAGAGAGAAGAAGATGCAAAATTGATAGATAACATGTTAGAATCCAAGAATTTGGGATTAGATGGGCTCACATGAACAGCTTTAATCATAGTTTCATTCAAGATTTTAAGAAAGTATGTACATCGAGGCATGGAGTAGCAGCCAGAATTTGAAGTGAATGATTATAAGTCAAGAATTTGTGTCACCGAATTCTGGAGTGTAATCAGGAAGATCAAGATTCCATTGTTTGCAAGGTATCAAACAGAGTTATCGTGGAACAGAAGTTCTAGGCAGAACGGTGTAGCTGCTATTTTAGATGCACAGGTACCTGGAGACCAACTCTCACGTCGTCGCGGATTAAGTAACAGAAAAGTTCGTTCAGAGTTTTGAGTTCAATTTACAAGAAGTGGGAGCTGGAGATAAGCATTCAGATGCTCCTGAAGTTTATTGGCAAAATCCAGAGTAGAGCTCTGAGAAGTGCTCCTCAAACACTTTACAAAGGATGAGGGTCTAGAATAATGGTATTTGCAAGTATACTTTCGATCAGACCTCATAGTATTCTCAAGTACATACTGTAAAATCAGATTGTGACAGTAGTACAAGAGAAGTATAGTTGATGTGGCAACGGCACGCAGACATTTGGAGTGCATGTAACAATCAAGACGGATTGTTCAACATGTGAGGCAGATGGGAAAGGTAGTAGACAGCTTTCGGACTTTGCTGCAAACCTGAAATCTGAAGCTCTGATTGACAACAGCGTGCTTTTTGATGAGAAAATTATCTCCAAATTGAAACCTGACAGCGTGGGGCGGATATGCGTCAGGGCAAGAGGAAAGAGTGCTCTAGGAGTTGAATGAAGAACCAAGGAAGACATCAGTAAAGGTAGAACGTAAATCAGAATCTGGTTTTGGATTGTCATGGCAATTTTACCCTGTGCAGATACGTTTTTGAGTTTTTGGGAAAGTCAAAGTTGATCACCACATTCACGGCCTAAATGTCGATTCTCCTAGAGACTGTTGAGAATCTAAGGGTCTGAGAAATATCTGATGAGACCAAGTTCCTACATGCTCCATTTTTGAAATCGTGGAAACCTCTATTTCGGTGAGACTGGAGCATCTTCACATGGACATAGAAACATGAATATCCCAGTTCAGTAAGTTTGCTAGAAGCTCAACCCGGTTTACAGGATTGCAAAAATTGATGGACCCGTAATTTGTAGTTTCAAAAATAGAGTGTTCAGACAGTGAACAGTCTTTGTAGAACCTGTGATTGGACTGGATAGTCGTTGGGGGCTGGCAGATTGGTGGCAGAAGTCAGGAGAGTCAAAAATTGGAGAATCGATGAGGAAAGTCTGGGAATTTTGGCGTGAGAGGAGAAACGTCGTGGACCTTGTTGAGTTCCTTAGCGCACAAAATTGGGATTGTTTCCATTCTGAGATGAGTGAAGGATATGTTCAAGAGGAAATGAGCAAGTCACTTGGAGCGTAGTAAATTTGCCATTAGCCATGCAAACAGGACATGCATCGAATTAATTGTGTACATACAGCCCGAAGAAGGATAAATGAAAATGGATATGTTCGAAAAAATAAATAGTGAGGTTAGAACTGTTATGATGGGATATGTAGATGGTCAGATTAATGTAAATGATCTGATGTTTTCTCTGTCATAGTGACATAAATGAAGGCCTAGTAAAATCCTCTACAAAACTGTTTGGCTTCAACTCTAGGCCTTCTTTTCTGTGTAGGAAATTTATACACTGGGTTCAGAAACAGGTTCTCTTTGAAACTTCAAAAGAATGTTCCTTGTGATCTATGTCAGTTAGTTTAGGTCATTCTGTCTCCCTTCCACTTGCATCCGTGTAGTAGTATACTGATCAGCTAGCTCTACCTACACCCTCTAGTTTTCAAAACAAAGAATGTATAGATAGATATTTATACATTCTTACTCTATATTGAGAAATATTGTATACTGAGAAATACAGTATACTGATATCAATTATTAAGGTGTCGAGTTGGTGTGACTGTCCAAGCACAACATTTCAGGTTGAAAAAAAAAACAAAAACCCTGAAAAAAAAAATTCAAGTTGAAAAAAAAAGTTCATCTGAACATACTGGAGTTTGCATCTTGTCTCAGTTGTTTTAGTTTGAAGGTACGGTGTTGCATTTATCATTTTTGTATACAACCTGATCACAAAATATTGTGATTTTTTATGATTAGGCAATTAGCGTACTTAGTGCTTTGTTAGTGATTTCCTTATGAAATCATAGTGCTTTGTTAGTGATTTCCTTATGAAATCATAGTCTGATAGCCTACTAGTTGAATAGTAGAGTTGTTTCCCTGCGCGAATTGGAGATGTTTTTCCAACGTCCAATTGGTGATAGATTTGAGACCAACCTACTGATGGGAACGTGAGAGCAAGGAGAAAGCTAGCTGGCGAGCTACCATTTGTAAGTTGCATTTGTGATAAGTTGCTGGTGATAGGAGGGCGATGGAGATCGAATTGGGATCGCGAAGCGATGCGATGTCTCGTGTGTGTTGTCTTGTTTTGTGCTGTGTTTCCTTTAGACTGGAGAGTCGTTGCTAGCTGTTTGCTTGTGTTTGAATCCTCTCCAATCTTGCTTCTTGGTGCGCGCCCGTGTAAGGGTGACGCTGATTTCCGGAGTAGTTTTACTCCTGTGTGCTGTCGATAGGGGGCTGGACTTGATCACCGGCCGGCCTATCTATGTTTCTCTCACGGTGAGACTGGAGTGATGACCAGTAGACCGTGAGAGTCTTCTTGCTGTGATGACAGGTTAGGTTGCCTATAGCCCTTAGCTAGTAGGGCTAGAGTAGCTCAGTGCGGCACGACGTAAGGGGCGGATTGGGTTATTGGGTGGAGATCTGGCAGTGGTGCCAGTTGAGGTCTCGTCATCACGGAGCAGTCTAGTGGTTATGTTGAGGACCGCGGTGGATTTACGCGGAGTGGGTTGAGGTATCGGCTACCTTCACCTATCTCGCCAGTTGTTGCGGAGGAGGACCAGAGTGTTGCAGACACAGAGTCTTTGGTGGTGATATCGTCCGATGTTCCAACCCCATTGATTTGGGACATGGACGGGATGTACGGGGCCGTGAAGGACCCTTGACGTTTCTCTAGTGCAGTGGGCACCATCGAGCTTGATGATTTTATTCAAGAGTTCGACATGTGGTGTGATATGCAGTTTCTGCATAACCCAACGTTGTTTACACCCTTCTTTGCATGAAAGAGGTTATTTCAGCATTTGGAAAGGCCTTCCATGGACGATTATCATGAGTTTGAAAGAGACTATGTTGCAGAGATTGATGCATAGAGACGTCATTGGTCTTCAAACTACTTATTCATTACCCATGGTGGTGTGGGTACCAGTGGAGGTGTGAGTATTGGCATTAATGGAGATGCGAGTAGTAGCATCAGCGAGGGTACCAGTGGAGCAGTTGACGCAACTGGTACCAGTACCAGCAGCGGTACTGTTAGCATTGTTGGTGGCAGCATGAGGGGAGATGTTAGTGGCGTACCTTTGTTTAGCCCCATTCCTGAGTTCTTCCAGAGATTGAGGAAGAATTATTAAGGGGTGAAGACGGAGAAGTTGAGGAGCCTCCAGGAGTTTGAGCGGAAGACTGATGAGAGTCTTCGTGAGGCATACATTCGTATGCGACGGCTAATCTCGGTTACTTAGGTGTGAATGAGGCACAGGCTGTCCTAACTGGTATCGAATCATGGACAGAGGGGTTGCGGATGAGAGTGTGTGATGCTACTCTCATGAGCGACTCATCACCCACATTAGCCCATGTGTTTGCTCTTTCTGAGAAAATTGAGCTTAACATGGTGGAGGAGAGGGTGATGACGTCTACATTTGCGAGGGACACGACCACTACTTCGCGTATCTCACACAATACATCACCGTCTCGCCCCATGGGTGGTGGTGGTGGGAGTCGTGGTGTTCATACACGACATCCTTCAGGTCACAGAGAGCCTAGCGCGCGATCACCACTACCTTCATTTTTTGGCCAGCCACAGGGACCGTCATGTTGGACATGCGGAGGTAGTCATATGAGAAAGAATTGTTTCCAAGAGAGAAAGGGACAAACTCCACAGGCTAGGCCACAACCGGCACAAGTGACGTGTGATCATTGTCATTGACCGGGTCACCCTCGAGAGCGTTGTTTTGACCTTCATCCTTAGTTGAGATCTGGAGGTAGAGGTCGTGGAGGTGATGCTCCACGATGCCGAGGTGGTTGAGGCGGCAGAGGTACCTGTGCCATTGAGCGTACTACAGCGAGTGCTACTTCCGCCATTGAGAACGCCATGGCTGTTCGGATTGAGCAGTTGGAGCAGAGGCTTGCTGCTATGGCTGGTCTGGGGGCAAGCACTTCCACATCTTACGAGGGAGAGGATTTCTCCTATTTGGCTAGTGCAGCACAGGTTGAGGCATCAGTTGCAGTGACCAGAGATGGTGCTCACGCTTCAGAGCCACGTGATGCGACTTTGAAGTTGGACCCTCAGAGGGGTGAGGGTGGACGTTTGTCTAGACTTCCCCAGTCCTTTTTATTGTCGGAGGTGGCTAGCAATTCATCTATGAGACCTGCACCGCCTAGTGACACTGGAGTGAGAACTGAGGTTCTTACATCATATGTTGTGGACGCAGACGTGCCATCTAGTGCAGTGATGCGGATGGTCACTTCAGTCTTGCGATCTCCATTGTTTTCAGCCACGGAGTTGATGAACTCTGGTATTGATTTGGCTCGAGTATTTCGGGTAGCAGCCACGTCGTGTGAGCGTGAAAGAGTCACTGCTACGAGTGCCGAGATACGTGAGGATACGGTTGAGGACCCATCCTCAACGTCTACATTGTTCGAGAAGACAACTTGGCAGGCGGCAGCGGCGAGGATGGAGTCCTTACCAACTCAACCAGCCATTGATCGCGAGAGGATTGTCCCTGATGTATGTATGGTGGACAATCGAAGTGGTCTATTTTGGTTAGTGAGTTCTACATGACAGGTGTATGTCCCAACCAGAGTTTTGCTGGATTCTGATGCACAGCCCTTGATGTTGGGCAAGGCTGCATGCATTAGTTTGGGTATTCGGAGGTCAGAGTTGAAACCTTGCCCATTCCAGATCCAGACTTCACTTGGTGGCGCCAGCGATAGGTCTTATTTTATGACCACGGATAGCATATTGATGCAGTTGGGGCATGATCATGCTCATGATAGCTCGAAGTTTGGAGTTCATGCGGTGGTTACATCAGCAGAGTCATATGATGTGCTTGTTGATGGAGTTGTGTTATATCCGATGGGTTTTTGGATAGACTATTGGATGGAGACTACTGCCTATCGTCTTGGTTGGCAGTCTGGCGATGAACGTTTGAGCGAGCTGCCAGTGAAATTTATTTCTTGAAATCAATCTCTTTGATCTTCATCTTCGGTCTTAGCCTCCGTTGCGGGTTTTAACGGAGTGCTTACCTGACCTAATGACTTGTTAGAGGGGAACAGTTCAACCGACGATACTCCTGTCTATGAGGAGGTGGAGGAGATTGTGAGACTCGCAGCGGCAGTGTCATCATCTTTGGATGTTCCACTATGGAATTCTTGTCAGGCACTACAGTTGGAGGCTGATAGGTTGGTGAAGAAGGCTTGGAATGAAGCCTCTTTACCAGCAGAGCCAGAGAGGGATTCAGCTGATCAGTTAGTTTGTGGTTCTAGCGCATTGTCTCCATTGGTTACTATACATATTGCATGGGAGTATTCCCTATAGGGTGTTTGTTTGCTGGATCTTTTTGGTGGGATCAGCACTAGTTTGGCTGCAATGTTGCAGTCAGGTATTCTCGTACGGAGATACTTGCAGTGCTTTGCCAACTCCCTCTTCATACTCGTCCCTCATATTTTTTTGACTGCTACAATTGACGCAAGTTGTGTTGGTAATTCCCTCCACAAATATTCTCACTGTAGTCCCTCCTCGCATTATGCCTGTCATGCGAATATGTATAGTCATACAACCTATATCACTGACATGCCATGATCACACACATATACATGGAACAAGAGCGTACACACAGAGGTATCACAACTGAGTTTTTTTAGTTAAAAGCGTCGTGCAAACTCCATTAATTTCAAACACAAAGATTCACATCATATCAACCAAACCCACTTTACATCTCACAAACTGCAGGTTGAAGTTAGTGGGACATCATAGCCAACCTACTGAAAATTATTTACTTTGCTAAAGGCTCAATCACTTAGTGTCCAAGTGGATAAATGAAGACGAACTTTGATGAATTGTACAAAATGTGCCTTACGTTCCAAATATCATGTGATGGTGGTTAATAAAATAACATAAAATAATATTCTGAATGACTACAACAATTAAGAAAAGCAACAGATGAAAATCCATCCGGTACTTCCTCGTACAAAAAGAGGTACCAGAAGGTTAACTAACGACCAATCTGAATTGTGTTGCAGGGTTGGTAGCTTTGTAGAAACAACAATTGTACTCTAGATCAGGACCCGAACACTATACAACAAAAGAACCAATTACGCTAAGACCAGGCGACAATGATTTGTTGCCCGCCATCAATAGGACATTCAAACGAATCAAGTGCACAACCTCAAAATAGTAACAAACACAATTACTCATCCAAACACAAATATAGTTCGTGGAATCCACAAAAAATATGTTTTGAGACTCAAATCCTATGTGAAGAGGAAGAAGAAGCTATGTGTACATATTTAACCAGAGTATTATACACAAAGTATAATATATGGCTTCAAAAATACATATGTATTTTATAATATTAAATCAAATTGAATTTTACAAAGATTGTGATTGAATTTTACGAAAGTTTTCAGAATGATTGAGAGTACTTTACAATGCTAGGCAGTCAATAGAACAAAGTATATCAGATCACTATAGTCATGCTTTTGAGGCTAAGGCCTTTTATCCCGTGAAAAACTTTGTGGACATTTCTAAGAATTTTGCACTTGTATTTTATAATCTCCATGTGCTTTTTATTCACAGCAAAAGTACTTTAAACTTGAGTAATGCGCATTGTTGCATTTTTGTGATGGAATGTAATTGGATCAGTACATTGAAAGTAAATAGATGGATACAGTGACAAAGTTGCTCAAAGCAGTATGAATCTAATGGAGTTTTTCAAAAGCATAAAAAGTGTGAGAATTTGCGAAGTTCAAAAAATGACGAGTTCTTCTACCAACGTTATCTTCCTCCCTTTCTCCAAAAACTTCAATAAACACTTGGTTGCACTTTGGGTCAACCTCATGGTTGCAGGAAAGCAAGTACATGAACCAAGCTAAAGTAATAGCAGTTGTATCCCTTCCGGCAAGAAGAGAGTTTAAAGTAGCAACCTGTAACACCTTATCAGACAATGGCTCTCCATTATGATCTTTACTACTAATAAATCTCGACAACAGATCGTGCTTATGCTGCGCAAGTAAACAAACCATCTAGCAACAAGGAAAGACATTGACATTAGAATATCTTAGTTTGCTTCATTCATGAACCTAACATCTTATTGGCAAGTCAGGCAGGCAGGCAAGATTCCACCAACGGTATGTCTAAATTCTTGTAAAAACCCAAAAAGTGATATTTATTGTAAAATCTATTTTTCTCTGTTGGATGAAACAGTCCAAGTTTACTCCATGATGGGCTAACTCTATAGTATCACATATTTGAAAGATGTTATTCAAAGCACTGCGATTTGAAAGTTGAATCCGTACCATACAATCCACATGAGGGCTTTTAAGTTTTTTTGTGCAATGTAATAAGGAATTACTGAGTAAAATATCATAGAGTGAAGAATTCACTAACCAAAGTTTTTTTGCATGGAATCCGGCCTCGTGATTTCTTCTCGGTGATTTTTAATAACAGAGTACATGAACAAATTGACATTAGGAAGAAGAGCCCTTAACTTTTTCTCTATGCCAATATTCAATTTCCGCTTTAGTTTCAAAGTTAAATCAATATTTCTTGACATAGACCACTCTGCGAGTTTATCAAATGCAATTGCAAACTTAGCTTCTGGTAAGTCTGGACTCAATGCTGGTCCACACCAAAACCAATTTATAGAAAAGTAGAAACTATGTCAGATTGTTCAAGCAAACAGACTGCTTACTCATCGAAGACACATTTAAGAATAGTTGAATGTTCAAGAGTAGTAATTCTTATCAATTTGGAATTTTATAGTAGCTTTCTATGAAATTTCACAGATCCACAAGCCTCATTACTTTTGCCTCGACATCGTTTGCATCATAAATTTCACCAAATAGTTTCAAATCAAAATTTTTAAAATTCATTTTTGAGTCCAGAAATGCAAACTCTCTATCCTCATCTTTAGCAATCTTGTCTAATCAAGCCTCATATTCCATGATTTGTTTGGATGTATCCACCTCTAGCTTAGATGACTCATCAACCAAAATTGTGAGAGATGAAATTTTTTTGACTAAACATTCCTTCTTCTCGTCTCTATAAGATATATTTTGTCAACAAAGAACCCCGTCATTGTAGCATATTGCAGTCTGAACTTCAACTTTGGAGTTGTCCAAGTTGACTCGAGTTTTGCTGTGCATTTGCTTGCTCATCTCGTGATTTCGCTCGTCACCAAAAGATCATGTAGAAAGTTGATGAATACGGACCAAGGCATGATAATCATTTAAATTCATCACTCATCTGTACCCAAACCAGATGTGGATGTATAAATTTTCAATTTGAGATATAGATCGGATGTATCAATGCGGCGTGCTAGAAATTGACTGAAGTTAGTGATCAGCTTTCCAACTTCAGTGATCAGCTTCCCAGCTTGGCCGTGATGGTTGAATTGCATTATGTGCATCTGATCTTCAAGGTCTTTTCATTGCATATAACAAACTTGTTGAAATTAAATAGATTCTACATAGAATTTCGAGGTCGGCCGCCGAGTGCAGACATTGATTGGTTAGACATGATAGATAGCGAATGATTTGATCGGCAATCTGAAATTGGAATCAAAATCCAAAATTTTAATTGAAATCCACACGAAATTGCAATCCAAATCTTCAAGTTTTGCAAACTCATTTCTAAACTACAAGATTTTGAACAAGATTTATTTTAACAGTAGTCTTCTCTGAACTATACTAAATCTTTCAGACTATGATCTTTCAGTGCTCTTTCTAACAAAAGTAATCAAATTATAGCATGAAATACTTCTAGGCAAATGCTTGAGAAGGGAAAAGGTTCTCTATGTGATCTTCTGAATTTAATCATAACGCATAAGGCAATAATCACTTCATGATTCAGTCTCATCCGAAGAAACAATGGTTCACAACGAGTACATATTTTTCATACCTGTCTTTATCGGCTTTGATTTTTGAAATCAGACGCAATATAGAGACATCATTAACATCAGAATCTATGTGTCAAAAGGTATAGAAAATACTGCGGATCAATTTTCAAAATTGCAAAATAAAAGCAGTTGAAAATCTTTATGTTAAGTTATGTATCGATGATATTGATTAGTGACATTTTGAGTAAAAAATAAGAGAAAAAAACCCATGACGTGAAATGATATCTTAAAAGATTATGATTAATATAAGAGGAGAGAAGTTAGCATGATTTTACAGTAGTGTGATACTAAAATATATATACATAATTTTCTTTTCATAATTTAAAAGTAAACACAAAATTGCAATCCAAATCCAACTACTTTAGATCAACTCACTTGAAAGAGTGTGAATTTTGCCCGCGCTACCTTTCACAGTGCTTTATGTAGAATCGGCACCTTTGATTTCCACAAAATTGCAATCGCTAGAGTTTACAATCTCACAGATGCATTTTCATTGTCAATTACACAAAAAAATGACTAATTCAGACTAAACCCACACTTAAAGTGTGTGGATTTTGTGTGCGTCGTGATTCATAGTGCTTTTTGTAAAATTTATACCTTCGAGCTTGTTCTTTTGGTCGCGCTTGTTACTTTAGTGCCGTAGTGATGCTTGTGAGATCAGAGACGTGTCGAGATCATATGATTAAGCGGGAAAAATGTGACATCTCATCCGTTAGATCACTATACATATTCAAATGTGTATAATACTGTTTAATACAATATTAAACTCACCAAATTTTGAAGCTTAGTATTATACATAATCCTAGTAGCAGCATCCTATACTATCTTGCTTCTGTCATCTTAATACAAATGAACCTCTTCATTTATGCCCATGATGTTCTTGATTCCTTATCTTCGAATGTGATTATTATCAATCTAAGCTCAAAAATGTAAACCTCAAGATACTTCAAGGTATGTTTGCACGTGATGTTCACGTGCAAACATACCTTGAAGTATCACATGAAGATGTTTGAAGCTGAATATTAAAACATCAAAGAACGGAGCTTGTAGTTTGCCAAATTTCTTCTAACATCATTCAATAGACTGAAGACTAAGCAGAGATTCCTTTTATTTTGATCTCGTATTTTACACTTTTTAATTGACCAAAGTCTTGATTACAAAGGTGGAATTAAATACCACCGTCACGATAACAAAAGCTGCAATAACGAAAGCTGCTGCATGATAACGAAAGCTGCAAAGCTCAAATTTTTTTTCTTGATACATTAGAAATCCATACCAAGTAATAGCACCTTGTCGATTCATGTCAAGTTTTTTCAAAAATTTGTTGGATCTAAGATTTATGGATTTTGGAAAAGTTTAATCTTAAATTACTTTTCAACTCTAGTTGAGAAATCTTTTCATTTCAACCTGCAACTTTCTTATCCTTATTGCAACCGCAAATCCACATATCCCTTATTTGTCACACCATAGCAACTTTCGGATGCTATTGTCACAAAAATTGAAAACCAAGAGATTAATAGAAACAAAATCAATCTGAAAATTGCTAAATGCAACGATTAGGTATCTCCTTTCTCCACAATACATCTTTCCAGAATCTACTCGCCAACTACATCAAAATTTTCTTTCCAATTTTAATGGAGATGCCAATCTTCTCCTTGAAATTTTTTTTTGTGGAATAAGAAAACTTCAAATCAACGCACGACACAAAATCAATTGCTATCTGAAATCGATGAAACTCGTAAGACCATTGCACGACTTTTGCACACGGCGATGACAATGGAAAGACACTCACGACAGTGACCGTATGTCGTAAATACCACAAGCATACAATCAAGATGAATTTAGGCGGTAGTCCTTGCAACAATTGACTCTTTGAATAGCAAAAATAACTCCTTAATCCGGTATAAACCGAATTTATTAAGTCACGGTAGGAATCTAACATTAAACACTTTGAAAGTCAAAATTTGAAGCTATATGTGTACTTAGTCAAAGTGAATTATGATTTTTGATTATTAGATTTGTTTTACCGGAGTACGCAATAAGTTCCATCCATATACTACATCATCATCATTCATAAGTGAATAAAATTCTTCTAGATGTATTCAAGATCCGAATGACATTTTACCCATACCACGGCAAAGTAACACTTACATAAGCCTAAAAGTGAGATTGTTTAGTCACGAACACAAGAGGCTGAGAAAGCAATGAAGTAGTTCATGTTTGTCCACCTTGCACTCAACTAGGCTCAGCTCGGAAAGCTACATATTATTTGGATGCAACAGGCCACTGCTAGGGTTACAGATCTACTTATTTTTAAGGGTATTGACCTCTTAATGCTGGATATGTTTTGAGCGGAGAAACATCAACCAAAGTCTCATGCAAGGGCATACAATAGGGTCAGGTTGTTGATTGACTAGTTTGGAAGCATGGACTAAGAGCTCCTTAAAGAAAGAGAGCGCATGAGGTGTAACTATTTTCAGCACATCTTACAATATATTTATTTACAGTAAAGAAAGTGCGGTGCATAGAAAAGTTTACTTGTTTCGCATTTTAGTACTATTCACACGACCCATGAGCCGGATGATCGAGAGATGTAATCTGTGGCACACATATTTTTTGTTGCCATGATATTGGGGGCGTAGCTATCCGACCCGTATGACTCTCATCCCTTCCCTGTGCTGCTCGATGGTCATTCCCGACGCTCACGCATATGTGCACCGGAGGGAAAGGGGGAATAAGGAACGATAGCATAACGATTTGCACGCTGGTCCAAAGAAAGGGTTCAACGGCAGCACGGGGCCGCCTCGGGTACGTTCGGGTACGTTCGGGTACGTTCGAATTCGGGGGAGGGAAGGAGGCGAGACGCCGGGGCGGGGCGGGGCGGGGGAACGACATACCAGCGGAGACCGATAGAAGAAGAGCGAGAGCCCGTGCTGCTGCTGCTGCGCTCATCGATGGTCGGGGCGTATCGACGGACGAGGACGTGTGCGCACAGATTTCGAACGTGTTACAGCGAATCTTATTTGTGCCCGCGATTTGGTGGGGCATCTGGTGGTGCTATCGAGAGCGGAGGTTTTCTCGTTCGAGAGTTGACGAATGATTGCCGTGGCGCAGAGTCAGAGAGAGAGAGAGAGAGAGAGAGAGAGAGAGAGAGAGTCCGTGAGGTCCGACGATCAGGGTTTACAAGATTGTCGTGTATTGCCTTTCTGACGGGAGGAATTGAGTTCTGCCTCATTCGCGGGAGAGCAGCGTGTCAGATGGTGATTGGAATTAGGGGGAATTGTGCAGGTGTGAATGAAGTTCAGGACGTTGGGATCATCGACATGGGCAGAATGGTTTAGCTGGAGTTGCGTGGTACCTTGTGGTCGGTGGTGGATCCGCTCTCCGGATTCTGGAAGATTTTAGAGCTTGAGTCGCGGGGGTGCATAAATGCGACACGAAAGAGACGGACAGGAGGTCTTAGAGTCTGAGTATGAAAGGTCAGGCCCCAGTTTGCTCGGGGAATGGTGTTTTGTTGCCCAGTCACGCGTCGAGATTCTTCAATGGCCGACGCAGTGGAGATACGCAGATGTGGGACATGTACTGTGAATATGCGGGTATGTCATGCGGAATTGAGGCCTAGGTTTGCATGTAAACAAGGATTTCCCTTTGAATTATAGGTTTGTGCGAGGAATTTTCTTCAATCTCCGTCGATCTACCTTCTTGACTTTATTGTTGATGACCACTAGATGGCTCATCAAATATCTACATGCTGTAGAGGCACCTTGTATTTGAGGTTGACGTTGTTTCGTCGATGCAGTAGATGTCTTGTGGCGGATGTGATTTGGTTGCGAAATGACTGCTTTTGCCCTAGGTTTTTGGAGTTCATGGGACAGAGTCATGTGCGCTGCAAGGATTTGGGGAAGATATCCTTCTCATATTCATTAGGTTCCCCTCCCCCCTGTGCGATCACCTTCTCTTCACGCGTTCAAATGCTTTACGTACAACTGGCCATGTTCCTTCATGGTCTGCGACTTCGTATGTGTGTTTAGGGCATATTTTCGGACTGCTTTGTGATTTAGTGAGGAAATGATTGAGTCATAAGCATGCACTCCATGCTGAGTCTTCTTCGTGCTTGGATTTGTTCAGGTATTTCGGGAACAGATGATTCACTTGGTCGCATCAAAGCACGTCTTGCTGCTCTCTCAGCATTTGCTGAGTCACAAGGATTAACAGGGTAATTGTTACTGGTCTGCTTTTCTCGTCGTTCTCTTTCTTTCGAAGCGAAGTGGTTTTGTAAATTATTCTTCGTATCCCGAAGCATGAATTTTGGAGGATATTCTAACTTGGGGAAATGGATGACCTGCAAGTTCAGGGACCTTGAGTAGATACTGGGCTCGAATGTCGTCTGAGCGTTGATCACAGAGCCATCTTCAAACACCTAACATAGCTGCGACCTCAACTGACTGCTGGTCCATTATGTGGTCCTTGTGCAGGCAGGCTGCCTTTGATGGACTTAGGCGCCTGAACGCAGATCTGCACGAAGAGGTACTTCACCTACAGGGAGGAAGGAGTCAAAATTGTATCAGTTCAGACTTGTGCCTCCTTCAACTATGCTAGTTTAGTGATAAACCTATAGTAAATTCTGATTTGTTGCTTCGTCCAATGCAAAGCTTGCACGAGCTCTACTGTGTAAATACTGGGATGAGCTTATGTGTCCATTTCACGAGGTTATAAAGTCATGTCTGGCATCCTCCAATCTTCATAATCGTGCATTTCTCCTTTGTCTGCAAAGTTTTTCAAAAAGAGCCTCGTAATTTTTCAAGATGCCATTTTCATATTCTAGACGTGCAAGACTTTTGATATTCGCAACTTCAATCATCGAGAAAATTACTTGATGGGACCCCTGCCGAACACAAAATACTTCTTGGGACCCAACACGATTCATCTTACCCTATGGGATCACTAAGACGACGGCACTGCAGCACACCGTCATCCATGTTCCAATACGAAGTTCTTGTAACTATATAGTTGGCGGATGTAGTGTGGGCGGATACAGTCGACTTCCTTTCTCTTTTTGCTCTGCAACAGCAGAAGGAGCACACTCAGCGTCGTCTTCAGTGTCAACCGTCAATCGATCGATTGAACTGGAAGGTGTGACTGAGGTCGGCGAAATCCCCAAGGTTGAAACCTTGGGGATTTCGCCCTTTCCCTCCCTCTCTTCCTTCATTCTCTCTACCTCTCTTTTCTTTTTTCCTGTTCCTTGGCTTCGTGGACGCCGATGGATCAATTGAACCCGAAGGTGTGACTGAGGTTGGCCGAAAATTGGCCGAAAATTGCACGAAAATTGCACGAAAATTGCACGAAAATCTTCGGGAAAATTGGCCCTTTTCCTCCATCTCTTCCTTCATTCTCTCTTCCTCTTTTTTTTTTTGTTTGGCTGTTCCGTGCCTTCGTGGGCGCATATGTCTGACGCGTAGGGTTAGTATGTTTAGAAAATTGGTGCACTTGGCCCGGTGACGAGGGAACATCAGGGGAGCACTTTGACAGGAATGCTGGTCGCAGGAAGTTCCATCATGACAAGCTCGTGAAGCGGTGATTAGGAATACAAAGAGTGGAAAGCATGCATGTTCTGACACCAGTGGGCCCAGGACGTCTGTCGCTATTAGAACACGGGTGACGGTGTGCTGTCGGTGGGGTCCCATCGGGTAAAATGAATCGTGTCGGGTCTTAATAAGTATTTTGTGTTACGTACGGGTCCCATCAAGTAATTTTCCCTTAATTATCGGATTACTAAGAAGTGTTTTGTGTTACGTGCGGGTCCCATCAAGTAATTTTCTCTTAATTATCGGACTACGGTTATTACTTACCACCTAATATTGCCAACCTGAAATAACAAGTTTGTTTCTCTCAGTAAGTTTGTGGTGCTAAGTGAAGTTGATTTGACCTCTCAACCGTTGCTATTCTACGAACTTGTCTGACCAAGCTATATCTTGCAGCTCATGGATACTCGTCACTTCTCTCTCTTCTATCGCTTCGTCTTTTTTATGTGCCGAGAAAGAGGACAAAAAAGCATTTGTAAGTATTCGTAACTAGTTTCGGAAGTGAGATTTTGATTGGCGCGGCCACGGAGTTTTGAGATATGAAAGTATTTATTTTTTTGTTTTCTTTTGTCTTGTTGTTGCTATTGTGAAGCTGTTAACACAGCTGTTGCTGCATGGAGGTTATCATTAACTGGGCGCTTCAGACTACTTGACCAGTGGTGTGCCTTTGTTCTGGTAATATTTCACTCAACTTTTCGAAGAATAGTTCATTTATGGTTGAAATGCAGGGAACTACTGGGTGTTTTGTGCGAGGAGCTTTCTAGAACAGGGTTCAATTCTAAATTCAATACAAAGAGAGTAGTACTAATATAGTTTTAATGGCTACATTGTATACGAAATTTTACGCTTACGTGTTTCAAGGTCTTTGTTACCTTTGGCTATCATCGTGGACTGCAAGAAATAGTTACTGATGTGTAGCTACACGCGAAGTTTTCTAACGACAGAACATCGTTTGTGTAGATTCATCAGCGATATTCGATCTCAGAAGACACTTGGAGACAAGTTTTAGAGTTCAGCCGGAGTGTGCATGAAGACTTGAGCAATTATGATCCTGAGGGCAAGTGCTTCTTTGGATTGAAATGACGAATCAATAGCAAGTTCTTTGTCACTATGTTCTCGGCTATTAGTAAAGCTCTGATGCAGCTTACACGAGTCCAATGAATGTTTTGTCAATTTGTGGAGGGAATGCATCTGGTATGGAATATATATAACGCGCCTCTAAATGAATATCTGTCTGATCAGGTGTTTTCTGCAATTTCAGGTGCCTGGCCAGTTCTAGTGGATGATTTTGTGGATAATATGTACAGGTTAGCTTCACTCTTGTGCCCGCTCGAATCAAAGTTGTTTTCACATTGCAACTGTTTTTCAATGAACTGCTGATAATTAATGCAGGAATCCAGTGTTCAGAGCTTGTCTGTTTCACTCACTTCGATCGACCTGTCTCTCTCTGGCTGTCTAAGATTGTGTTGTTGTTCCTCGATGTGAGCAGAAAAGCTTCTTGTCCCTCATGCAGTACGGAGTCCACAGTGTTGTGCGAATGCGGCGTGAATGTGCTGGCTAAGTTAACCTCTGAAGATGATTCACAATCAGCTGCCCCTTTGAGCAAAGCTTCCACTTTACCAGGTCTGCTCACAATTCCTTTTCGAAATTCTCGGTCGACACTTGGGAGGGCGTTAGCTGAATTTAGCCATGTGCATTGTCACTAATTGGATATAATTCATGAAATGTTCCTCGAGTGTCTTTCATTTTAGAAACTGAATGATATTTCATAATGGTTGAAAAGAATGTAAATGCTCGAGTAGGCAACTGACTTATTTTTGTTGGTATCGCGGGAATTAGCTGGTATGACTGATGCAGAATTTTTGGTGAAAGGTTTGCTTCTTCGTAAAGTCGAGTGTATACTTTAAACTTAAATTCGGCGGAACCCTCCGTGCAACCTCAGGACTGAGCGGAAGAATATAACTTGTTTCTGGAAAAGGTTGCAGAAGCTTTTTAGTTTCTTCATAGCTTACCTCCGTATGGATCTCACAAGAGATTGTCTTTACATTGTGGATAACGGCAGATGCTGTACTTTCCATCACACGTGAAAAATCACCGAGTCATGTTTTGGGCCGCTTTCATTTTCCAGCCGTGCCACTTAGAACTGACGTTAATACTCAATATTCAGGAATGGCCGCTTGTGCCGGGAGCAAGCGGAGGAGAAAGGATCCAAAGGACGAGGCAGCTCAAGTGGCTTCAGTCAATAATATCGCTCAGCTTCTTGCTGATATGCCCAGTCCGCTTTCATGTAAAAGAGTGAAATCCAGCAATGCTACGGTGGAGGTGCAGGATCCAATGGAAGAAGTTTCGGATGATCAAATGCAACCGTCTAATTATTGGGAACAAGGACAATACGTGGGAGGAGGTCATTCTATCGATGATGAGATGTCACAAGGAAGTATACTCGGGTCACCTGCTTCAAGCAACAAAACGTGGGGCAACTGTGAGATGTTCCATGCTCCCTCTGCTTGGTACAAGTTCGAGGGTAGGGCTTCACCTGGAAGGGTTTGTTCCAGTCCTCACACGCAGGAGGTACTGAACTGTGTTCTGAAACATCCTCCGATCACTGTAGTTTCCCACATGCCATTTTTTTGACTCCCGCTATTTATTTGTCCTGACGACATTCTTACATCCTCGTCAGCCACAAGTCATTTTTTGATCGTTAGCTAAGCTTACAAGAGGTGAATCATTTGGAGAAATTGAGTACAGGAAATCATGTGAATTGAGATGCGTATAGAAGTTAGGGTTTCTGTAACTCAGGGGGTGCTCCAAACCCCAGGAAGCACAATCGAACGAGCAGCACTACGTACGGGACATACACAGGACTGGCCAACTCAACCAGATGGCCTCTACCGATCTGGTTTTGTACATCATAGTGAAACTCGTATTGTGCAATTTTGTATCATGAATGTTTTTCTTGTCTTGTATACATACAAATTTGTACTATACAGAGGAGTACTGTTTAGAGTTGTGCTACTGACAAGCGTGGGTCGTCACTGTTTGCTACAATCAGTGTGCGAGAAAATGTTGTCACCCCTTTTTTAACCGTCCAGAGTCTTCCTAGTCAGGTAACGCGATTTCATATGGATCAACGTTTTTTTGGAAAGATAGGTCTCAAGAAAGAAATGTGTACTCAAACTAGTTTTGGAGTTTTTTACTTCAAGCAGTAGTATTCAGTAACATTACTTCCCGAAGACAATCATACTAGTTCCGATGACAAAGTTACTAGAAGATTCTAAATACACTTTCCTCTGCACATACCTAATAAAGTAGAGTTTGCGCCGCGCCAACTAACGAAACGTAGACCTCAAAGCGAGAAGCTTGTCATAGAGAATGGATGAAAAAATACATTCAAAGCAAGTCAATTACAGGTTCATGTGTTGTTGCCCAACAAGTTATGTAAATACTAATTGATACGCTTGAGCTAGTGGTTAGGAGGACTTCAAACGAGAGTTCATAACAAGGTCGATACGACACTGCAGGGCGATTTATGCATTTGGTGAGATAGCGATGTATAAGAACTAAAGCGGAGGCATCAAAGAAAGATACTTTCATTGACGAAAAACATCCATTATTCATGGTGGATACGGACCGAGTCGAAGAGCGGCAGACGATAAGAGCAATGTAGGCATGAGGTAGATGCGTAAGAGATTTCGCGATACGACAACGAGTACACTGTGTACCATAGTGTGCTGAACATGAGATTCGCCAGGAGGTAATGGTCAGGCGTCATAGCCAACGATGTCGGGACCGTCTGGTTGGAAATCTGGCATGTTGAGAAGGTGCTTCGAGAATGTGAGAACTCGTTTGTAAACTTTAATACTACTCTACATCTCATATCTATAGTGGGGATCAAGTCGATGCCCCATGACTTATCGAAGCTCTGAAAATTAAGGACCTGACAAATGTACATTACCTTTTTCATATATGGGCATCATCCCCATACTTTGACAATATTTGCCAAAAAACATATGATTTTACTGCAATGTATACATAATTCATTACCAATTGCTCCTTCTCCTTGAATACTAACGCCACCAAGTCCAATTTGATAACTTGTAGTACACTGCGAACTGTTCGCATTGGCATTTTGAGCTCTACTAACAGGGCATCTCCTGATGTTATGCTATGCAAATTGATGGCAACCATCACATTTTCTTCTCTTCGACGGATTGCTTGCAGCCTCTTCTCTTTCAAAGGCCGAGGGATTGCGTTGGGTGGAATTTTGGCTCCGATTTTTCTTGTTCAGTGTACCAGCAGGTCGTACTTTGGGTTGCATGATGGTAGGCTCGAGGATGACATGTAGGTAGTCGGTATCAAGCATTTCAAGAGCTCGCTTTAAACCATATGGTTGATGAGGAAGCATGTGGCTGGGTGGAATTTTGGCTCCGATTTTTCTTGTTCAGTGTACCAGCAGGTCGTACTTTGGGTTGCATGATGGTAAGCTCGAGGATGACATGTAGGTAGTCGGTATCAAGCATTTCAAGAGCTCTCTTTAAACCATGTGGTTGATGAGGAAGCATGTGTTTGTGCCTGTACACAAGGTAGCCTAAAAGCTGTCAAAAGCTTCTCTCAGATGCTACCTCAGCAGATCTGGAGATGACGGGTGCCGGGGCCGGAGTCACATGTTGGTGAAGCCACCATTGCTGATGAAAATCTTGCAATTGAAGTTGTCGGTTCGTAACATCACGATACTCTTTGAACATATGCACACATGGGATGACTTTGGTTACGGATAAGCTATGCCTACAGTGACTATCTTTGAGCAGTGATAACGACTTTTGATGCTGTTCCAAAGCCTCTAATGATAGAAGAGAAGAACAAAGAAAGCGATGTTAAAATCGATCCAACAAGCGCAACGAACAAATAAACCAACCAAAGAACGAACCAACCAATCAACTTGAACCGGCAAACAAATGAAAGAATAGCCTAACAAAAATGAAATAACGAACAAACGAATGCTCGGATAGAACTTACCAAGTTCAAGGAATAATGAGAAATTTTCTTTGAGACATGTTCCCAAATTGATTTTGTCAACAGCGGATTCGATTTCCTCGCGCAATTGGTTGCAATTGTTTGCTTCATAAGCATTCGTTGTTGACTGTTGTGTAGTTCGCGCGATTCAAAAAGCGCTAGCAAATTCCTATTGGAAACATTAGACCATCTCTTCAAAGTTGCGTGTCTTCCTTCGGAAAGTGAAGTTACAATATGTACAAAGTGAGTTACTTTATTGACACACGGTACTCCAAATTTCTCTTTCACTGATATACAATTGATCTCGAGCTATTCCGCCACTACAACAGGCACAGATAGTTTGATTGACAATCGAATGGCTTCAAATTTTTCCTCTGTGTCGGTAAAGTATAACGATTTCCATGTCTTCATCAAGGTCTCAAAATCGTCACCACGGGAAAAGTGTATTTTGACATTGATTGAAAAATTCTTGTTGATGTGCCAAGTGCAGAGTAATAAGCTGGCTTCGGGGAATTAGATCTCGGATGCATTGATGAGTGATTTTTCCTCATCGGAGAGAAATACCAGTTTTTTCTCTTATGGAAATGAGCTACCAAAAAAATCGTCGAAACTTTCTCATCACCCAGAGATAATAGGTTGTTCCTTCGCTCTTCATTATGGCGTAAAACAACGAGAATGACTGGTATGTTGACAACACAACCAACCCATGTAGCATCAGCATTTTGTAGATTGAGATGTTTCATTTCAATGTGTGCTAATGATGCATGACGACAATGAACAAATAATCGCGTTCCCATATAACTTACTTGTTAACTTTCTATAGACAATCAAACAAATAAACAAAGTTTGTTAATTCTTTCATCAGATCTTTGGTAGTTTTCGGAAGAGGACGACTAGGGCCACACCCGCCTTTGCTATGGCCACACTCGGCCGTGTAAGTTGCCTCGATCAAAGCCGCCGAAGGAGGTTGAAGCGGCATGGCAGTCGAAATAGATCAATAGAACGGCAACAGCGGTAGAAGCGGCAGCAACGCGGGAGACAGCGACGGCCGCAGCGGCCACGCGAGGGGTGCGGGGCTGCTGCGATCCCGCACCTCTCGACTACGCTCTCCTCTGACTCGCGGACGAGCTCGGCTTAGAAGCTGGGTTTGAGGGGAGACGTGCTTTGACGTTGTTCGTATGTAGCGGGTGTGGCCCTAGTAAAAATGGGTGTGGTCCTAGTCGTTCATGGTCAATTCACTTCTCGATCAGCATATCAAGCAACGTCTCAAGTGAGGTATGTCAGACAAGCTTTTCCTTTTTGAGTTTCGCACGTTCGTTGTAAAGGTCACCGCTTGTAGGAGGGGCGCCAGAGTTACATCTAGAACTTGAAGCCGCAACCGTTGGATACGCCAAAATGTCATGAGGTTTGTGGTTGTGAGATCCGTCTCTCACTTCGCCTTTCCATTGCTCTCTACCAATGCTCTCTTGCTGCTTCATCATTACCGTCACTGGCATCACCATCTTCCAAGTCTCGTCTGACTACTACTTCAAAGGGACAGTTTGTTCGTCCCGTCATTGTCCTTCGGATGAGGGTCTTCTTGAAGATAGGCTTCTTGCCGTGAGCACAAAACAGATGGATACTCTTTACTTCTACTTCCTTGTAGATTTTCACTAATCTCCAGATCTTCATCTCGTAGCTTTCACTATGGGCAAAAGCTCCGACGGAGGCAATGGCTTCCACTCGCTTGTTACAAACTTTCATGTAGGTGTTGCGGTCAAAGACATCTCTGCTCTTTGCATTTAGGGATGATCTTGTGATTTTACTAGTAGTAGTGCATTTGATGGTGATTATTTTCTCGAGGTTTTTAGTTGGTGATGTGACAAAATGTCACCAAATGCGTGACGTAATCATCCACCCCATCCATCTAGTGGGGGTGTTGTCCATATATCAAAAAGTTGATGTCTATTTATTATTCACCTATATATTTCTTGTATTAAACATACATTATGAAATTTTCTAATTATATTATTATTTTATATTATCATAGATACATCTATTTGTACATGTTTATCTTTAGTTAAAAACAGTAACTATATTCTTTCTGCCCCTTACCCCGAACCTCGCCTCGCAAGGCAGTCGGGCTCACCCCTGCGGCAGCCAGGGCTGGTCGATGACCGTACTGCTTTGCTCATTCCGCGAACAAGTAATGTTCCTGGGCGATCTGACGGGCAAGCAAATATGGTAGTCTCCGCAGTCGGTGTCGCATTCCGAGAAAGAAGCGGCAGGCACGAGGCACGGTAGCCCATGGAGAACGAAGCAGCGAGGAAAAGTAATTTTGAGGCTCCTCGTATGTCTCCCGAAGACACATGAATTAAACAATGCGACCAGACGACAATGAAATGGCCAACTCAGGACAGAAGAAAAGTTCGGCCTGTTGGTCTAAAGGGAGTTGTAGATTTTGTATCTCACCGCTACACCTTTGGTATTGGAGTGATGTGATCAAGCATCCTCGATGACGGATGTTCACTGTCATGAAGCTTTTCTTCAGTTTTGCAAATGGTTCTGCATGCTTCCCTCGAATAGACCTCTTAATCGGAGATCCACGAATGCCTTCAGCTATTCGTGTGCTTTTTGTGATTCGTATCGTGATGATTCATTCTGCTCTTTTCGGAACGGACTTTGGGCAATCCGTTTGGTTTTTGCGGGCCAGCTAAGGATGAGGACGATTTGTTGTCACTTGCACGAGCACATTTGCTACATTGACTCCGAAACTGGCAAACAGTGTCCGGTTGCCTCCAATCCTCCGATGAACAACACATGTCCCTATTTTGAGAACATCGATCGTAAGTTGACGACAAGACAAGTGCAACACTCTTGACATGTGAATCCCCCTTACTCTTCTCATCTATGGGTATGGATGTAGAATAATAAGAGTGATGTCTCCTTTCCTCTCGTATCAGGATGTATCTGCGGATCTTAAGAGAGGCCAGTAGATGGGGTGCTAATGTGGAGACATCAGCGGTTGAAGAGCACCGACCGGAAAATCATCAAAGGGAATCATTCGAAGGCCAAGAGACCTGCCAAGCGTTTGCAGTGAGTGCCATCATTGTGTCTTATATCCACCAGAAACGAGAGGAGAAAAAGAAAGGAAGAATGTGAAGACGTTCGGTCATGCCGTCTTCATACCTCGGTGATGTTACCTTCAATGGCATCCATTGGTGGGTAGAAGACGCACTGAAGTTGGTTAGAAAGACTCCTAATCCGCTTCTTATCTGCTCTCTGTTACTATGCTGAGTATATATATCACTCTTCTTCCCTTGCTCGTAAGCAGTCGAATCGACTCTGTTACAATTTCTGAGCTATCTTATCAACACAATTCTTTTATGCAGTACGCTAACACTGTCTAGTCTTCCGAGGTGAGGTTTTGACGACGGGTAATAGTGAAAGTCATGCACTCTACACGAGAGGTCAACAGATTTCCTCATGACAGCTTATTGACGACGCCAGAGTTGTGCAAATCATAATGATAATCGAAGGGTAAACGTCAGCTAGAATTCCTCGTCATCTTCTTTCTTCTCTTCTTCGGGGGGTTTTTGAACCTCGAGAGGAACAAATCCTGGATACTGTTGTGCGACCAGGAGAGTAAACTGCATGTCAATGACTGCAATCAGTTCATGTCGAAGGCTTTTGATCCGTATCATCTGGATATCGTTCTGAGGATCGAGTTCACGAATAGCACTTCTCGTCATAATTGCGAGGCTGGAAATTTCTTCTGCATATTTCACTGTCTGATCTTCCTGCACAATTAAAAAATTCTCCGTACTTGTGAACAGGCTCAAAGCAATCATGTGTGAAGTGAGGGTTGAGATTGTTTCTCCATTTTTTAATCGCTTTAAGTTGTGTTTCGCTAATATGTCGGTAATAAATCCTGGAGGACCCTACATGAATCAGCTGTGTCCCTAAAAATTTGGAAGGTTTCACCTACCTCATGTATACCTACCTTAGTGCAGGTTGACTCGAGCCGTATGGTCCCAAGTACATTAGTTTGAAAAACCGCCAAGGATTGCGTTCAGCAGAAATTTTCACACAAAGGAATAACGTGATCGGCGGACAAACCTCGAGGAATGTTGAGCGTAGAATATTTCCGTCATTGTCGACGATGAGGACGCCAACGACATCCTTTATACAACTCAAGTCAGCCTTCGGAGGGAGTACTTGAACAATTAAATAAAGAAGTAACTCGACACACTTCTGACAGTCAGGTTATCAAGCCTCCACGTATAGAGGAGCTATTGGCATGTCTTCATAGCTTCAATGAGACAGGAACCTGTCTGAAGACGGCATACCTTCAAATTGGTAATTCTCTGCAGCGCTGCTTCGGCTTCTGTCTGTTGCAAGTAAACACAATCTGTTAGCCAGATTTTCAACGTTCGGCATTTTCTTTCGCGGCAACGCAATTGACTTATCAATGATCTACTATGACAACTTCTAACTTGTAGATGAATATGAGCTATAGTCGGCTGGAATCTCTTCAAAGTCCTTCGGAAAATTTCTCATCGAGCAATATTAGGGCACAAGATCTGAAAGGTCAGTTGTGGTTGTTCCCTGGATCTGGACCCACTATCATATTATTTCACTTTGGTTAGGCTCGTAACTAAGTTAAGAAATGAAAAGGTCTGCACACTTGCCAAGGTCAACATTTTGGTGGATGTTCCACGAAGATTCCATTCTCCAAGTGTTGAGGCTCTCAAATGGAGTGATACGAGATCGAGAAGAGGACTCTTTGCAATACATACACTATTCAGGCAGCCGAGTGCTGCCCGGAAGATCCGGTAAGTCCAGACAGCGAAGCTGCAAGAAGTACAAAATACTCTGCGAACGAGGTGACTCTCGGACTAGATGCATCGCCCACGTGCAAGGTGACGATATGCACCAGCGATTTCGGGAGTTTCAACCCCAATATAGGAAACATTTCTAAACCCGGAGCTTTCCTTTTCCGAGGTCGATTCCGCAACATCCGTCAGACCCGCTTACTCCGAAGTGTGTCGCTACCAACAGCTTTTGAAGGTTGGTTGGTGGTGACTGACTGGTGGGCGATCGATCGAGGTTTGCTGTCTGAGCCCATCAGCGATCTCTGACCGGTCCCTGGGAAAGCAACTAGACGGCAGAATCTTAAATGAAGTGCGGGGAGGTTTCGTGAGCCTGCCTGCCTGCTGCAGTTGGGGTATCAGCAGCTGAAGAGACATTTGAGATTGGCATCGTCCACCATCCCCTTGCCAAAAGGGGGAACCAGGAGATGCTTCCACTGAGAGTTGAACTCAGGACCTCCCGCTTACTAAACGGGTGCTCTAGCCAACTGAGCTATAGAAGCTGTACGTCTGCGTCGGTAACTTTATAGTATCAGTTTCAATTATTCCTTTCTTTGTTGAGTTTTTGTCCACGTTCGGTCTAAACGATGGCAGTGAATGTTTTCCTTCGACGGATTTCGGGTTGGAGGAGATGGGGATGGGGCCTCGGACCTCCCCACGTAAAACTGGAAAAGGCGATGGCAAGCCATGCTTCCTTCCGGGCTGCCGCAATCGCGCCTCACGTCTCGTCCCCATGCAATAGCCAGAGCAAATCATCGTTAAAATTCCTACCAATGAAATCGACAACCACGAGATCTTTCGATTCTCAACGAGGTATGCCGTGCAGCTCCTGATCCGAGGAATGGGTGCAGAAATCGAGAAGTTCCGAGGATGTGAACCACGTCCTCCGAGAATTTTTCTGTGAAGAATGGTAGGTAATCCCGGCGATGAGTTTGCCCACGTGAGCTGGTCTGGTCACGACCGCATACTGCCTGCTGAGAGCGATAATGCGTACGGTGATGTGAGATTGCGCTTCCGCCGTTATACTCAAATGGATGTCAAGGCGGAGATTGATTCAAGCATCAGGGAACCTGGCACCCTTCCTGCAGATCGCCGCTCTCGATTTAAACAATACGATCGTACAGCCGGAATTAACTCAATTGATGTTGCCTTCGCATCCCCGAGTGTCGCGTCGCAGGTGATAACAGGCTTCGATCCAAAGAAGTTGCCCGTTTCCCCGAGCACAATCCATCAATGCGTGCAATTTGACAAGCGCCGGAAGGAGGAAGCAGACGAGGTGAGGAGTGTACCATGTTAAAGGTTCGGGTCGAGAAGGCGATAGCGTGACGATAGTCCGCGAGACACAGGGCCAAAAGTCCTCAAGCTTTTCGAAATTTCCTCGACCCTCGCGGAGCACTGCACTCGTCCTGCATGTCGAGGCCCTTGTTTCCTTCGAAACACGGCAGGTGACAAATGATCTAGTTCGATTTGAGAATGATCAGCGATGTGGGACGCAGCGGTTTGTGTCGTTCCGAGCTCGTTGCTATTGATTCCAGGAGCGACAGGAGCGACAGGAGGAACCACGCCGTCCAGGTTTTGCAAGTACGCTGGGGCCAAAGAAGTAACTCTGCCGCGATCATAACTGCCTACCCGACGGACTCTGTAGCCGGGAGGATCCATCTCGTTAGGGCAAACTCCCCAGCAAATCTGTGAATACTCGCTCCAGAGTGCTGCTGACAAATCTGTTCGGCAGGTTTTACTGGTCGAACGGGTTCTCTCGTACAACGACTGGTGTAATGCGTCTGAGAACCGTCTACTTTAAGGAGAGTCCAAGTGAAAGAGATGATCGACGGAATGAAGGTTTTGAAGGTGACGAGGCTCGATTTGTATGAGACTGCAACGAGAAGGAAATGTCTGTCTCTTCGTACGTCCCGGGCAATTCCATGCTCCTGTTCGAAACATCGCAACATAAATCACGCAAGGATTGATTGCTATCCATCGATCACTGCGGTCGGAGAAGCCAGCGGAGAAGCTTCTCGAGCAAGAGTTAATCTTCCTTACCAAGATAGCTCTATCGATCCATCTATACAAACGATCGGGAGAGGCAGATTCTCCAAATGGCAACGTGGCTTCGTTTTTACAAAACCGCATCTCGTTATCCTCGAGAATGGTAACGCTATCAGTTCCTAGGAACTTGCTTTATAGTCCATACCCTGGACCAGATGCCTCTGCCCACGCTCCAGATCCAATAGAACGAATAGGCGGAAGTCAGAAGAGATGACTGGCAGGATACACTGTTCTTCTCGAGACAGGGACCAAACAAGGTTTTACAATTTTTAACAGCGGACCTTCTAAGACGGAAGGGCTCATAATTTTCGTCCTGAGCGATGCGCACATCTCAAGAGGACGAGGCAGGAGACTTTCCCATCTGCGATAGTTCGAGATGCTACCTGACTTCGAAACGACCGGGGCTACAGCAATGGATGAATAATTTCTCCTGCTACCATCCGTCACCAAGGCGTAGTGCTACCGGATCGTGACTAAACAAACTTGTACGTTCTTGGTCCACGGAGGTTCTTGGGGGAAGCGACACTTGGTGAATGATCGACTGCTCAGACTATTCATATCCCCGTGGGCTGTTGAAAAACTGAAAAATCTGGAAATTCTAGGAAAATAGAAAAGAGCCAGATGCAACTCTGAACCGAGAGAGACCGAGGGGCACGTGTTAAGCACAGGCAGATCAGACGACTGTTCCGTACTGAGCCGAAGCAAGCAGAGCTGAACCTGCACGGAATCGAACGAAAACGATTCCTTGACTTGAGCTCCGAACCTAGATCGGATGGCGTCTTGGGTTCAGAATCAGTGCGTGGGGACAGTGGTGCTGGTGGGATGCGGTTCTTCTCGGCATTGAGTACTGCCCCTTGCGCAAAAGAACACAAATCCTTATGTAAAACAAAACTGGAGTGTCGATTTGGCCATCTTTTTATATGGGACCTGGGGTGTTGTTGGAGCACTGTTGTCTGGAGATACAAACTCAACTGTTTATACTTTAATCAGAAAATCCGCCCGAAGTTCGGATCTGCCTCCTACTATCACTCTTCGTCATGTCCTAGGAAGCTGTTCAGAACCCTAAAACACCAATCCCCCGAGGAAAGGGCTGCGAGTTCTGGTGGCATATCTAAGGCATCAGCGGTCCATCATTCCGCAGTCAGTCTCGAGTCCTTCTTCCTCGCCTTTCCTCAGCTCTCTCTCTCGCTCTCTCTCTCCCTCTCTCGCGGTCTGCGGATCTTGAATTCTGTTCTCTTCGGCACGAGGCGTTGCCGATTCGCTCTCAAGAGGAAACAGGAAGAAAGATGTCGATCATGGCGATGCCCCTGAATGCGGCCTCCAACCGAACGGTGGCCGTGGGCAAGCCCAGCTTCATGGGCAAGAGCGTGATGCGCAAATCCGCCACGGCCGGAAGGCAGAGCGTGCGATTCGCCGTCAGGGCTGCGGGCTACGAGGCCGAGCTCGTGAAGACGGCCAAGACCATCGCCTCGCCGGGGCGAGGAATCCTGGCCATCGACGAGTCGAGCGCCACCTGCGGGCTGCGCCTGTCCTCGATCGGGCTCGAGAACAACGAGCCGAACAGGCAGCTGTACAGGCAATTGTTGCTTGAAACCCCGGGCCTGGGCGAGTACATCTCGGGCGCCATTCTGTTCGAGGAGACGCTGTACCAATCGACCACGGCGGGCAAGAAGATGGTGGACGTGCTGGCCGAGCAGAAGATCGTCGCGGGCATCAAGGTCGACAAGGGCCTGGTGCCTCTGCCGGGCTCGAACAACGAGTCGTGGTGCCAGGGGTTGGACGGACTGGCCTCGCGCACCGCTGCCTACTACAAGCAGGGCGCTCGCTTCGCCAAGTGGAGAACGGTGGTCAGCATCCCCAACGGGCCGTCCGAGCTGGCGGTGCAGGAGGCGGCCTGGGGCCTGGCGCGCTACGCGGCCATCTGCCAGGACAACGGGCTGGTGCCCATCGTGGAGCCCGAGGTGCTGCTGGACGGCGCGCACTCCATCGAGCGGACGCAGGCGGTGGCCGAGAAGGTCTGGGCGACCACGATGTTCCACCTGGCGCAGAACCACGTGCTGTTCGAGGGCATCCTTCTGAAGCCGAGCATGGTGACCCCCGGCAACGAGCACGGCCAAAAGGCCACCCCCGAGCAGATCGCCAGCGCCACGTTGGCCATGCTCAGGCGCACCGTGCCGCCGGCTGTTCCCGGTATCATGTTCCTGTCCGGCGGGCAGTCGGAGGTCGAGGCCACGCTGAACCTCAACGCCATGAACCAGTCGCCCAACCCGTGGCACGTCTCGTTCTCGTACGCGCGCGCGCTGCAGAACTCCGTGCTCAAGGCCTGGCAGGGCCGCCCCGAGAACGTCGAGGCCGCCCAGAAGGCGCTGCTGATCCGCGCCAAGGCCAATTCGCTGGCGCAGCTCGGCCTCTACTCGGCCGAGGGCGAGGCCGAGGAGGCCAAGAAGGGCATGTTCGTCAAGGGCTACACCTACTGATCCGTCGCGGCGGGCGGCCTTTTTTCCCTTTCTCTAAAGTTCATAAAACTCTAAAGTTCTGATTGATTGAATGACTGAGTGACTGACTGGCCCTGCAAAAATTTTGAGGAGGCTATCGTCTTCGAAGATCCACTAGTTAGAAATTAGTCGACGATACGATGACACGTACGAGACAAGTGGCGGTTTTGACGATTCTGCAACGCTTCATTACTTCTGAAGGGTAGCTGGCTTGTGAATAGCAGTGGTACACGAGCATTTTGGGCTTTGATTCGAAACGCGAAAAAAAAAGGAAGGAACACCACTCGATGGAAGTTGGCGGGAGCATTTGGTTCGCCTCGACGCCGGTAGGTCAGGTCAGCCCGGAGACGCCGGCGAGCGAGCTGGAGGAGTTCGATCACCCCAACTTCCCAGACCTGTGGCAGCAGGAGCCCGCAAGCACGGCGAGATTATACATGACGATTTGTTAGTATGAGGCTTTGGATGCGGGAGATGGAAAGCGTCATCTGAGAGGGATTCAGAGCAGTAAAATATAGATATCTGCCCTCAGGATCATAATTTCTCATCATCTGCTCGGCTATCCTCGGTCTCGGACCTGAATCTCGAGTGATTGTTCTCGGGGCTGCAGCAGGTCGATGGTTCTCAAGCAATATGAAATGGCAATTTGAAATTCTTTTTCACTCCTCCGATGATTCTTGTTATCTTTTCCCAGATGGAGCCTGGTGTCTGTGTGTGACGAGGATCAGAATGTCGTCTCTTGCTTTCACATGATTCTTCCCTGTCTTAAGTCCCCCGATTCTCTGTTAGTCCGGCAACAGCAAACGACGTCCAATCAGAGCTTCAGTAGGAAGTTCGAACCTGAAGAGTCTGACAGCAAATCCTTGTCTGAATGCTATTTAGAGTGACGGGGTGCACGTGCATAACTTCGGCAAGCCTCTGTCGCTTTGGAGAGGAGTTCGAGCAAAATAGGTCTGTTCTGCTGTGTATACCTCTGGATAGTACTGCTACCATCGCACAACAGCTTATTGATACGAAATCTGAAGTCCTGTGTGGTGGGTCCGAGTCCAACTTGCGAACTCTTTCCTTGTTTGTTTCTTTGAAGAAGAAGATGCATCGTACAGGTGGTCTGAGTATGCAGCTGTTGAAAGTGAAGGTAGTCAGTCTCTATCGCCATCGATGGTTGTGTATTGTATCATCGTCGAGATAATGGATGGCGGGTTCCACGAGCTTTAGTTTCGAACTCTCTCTCTCTCTCTCTCCTCGGAAATTCAGCTATATGAGGTGCAAGATTGCTGTGTCATGAGAGGGATAAGCAATAAGAACTGCCGCAGTCGTGGCTTTCAGCACCGGAGAAATTTCGAAGTAACAGAAGATTTGACTGTACGGACTTCTTGGTGTGAAGTTGGCGTCCATGCGAACACCTAACCGATCTAAAAGCATATAACCTCGCGTCACTTACACGGTATGGGCCTGTTCGTAGAACCCAATCGAATTTCGGTGCACTATTTTAACGCGCGATGTGAATATCGATGATAGTCCTCAATCGGGTCAATCACGGACGCGTGGAGCTAATACGAAGTGTACCTCGTTACAGATCCGATCGCACGAAACATCGACTTCGTGACGGCGTGACAGAATACGTCAACCTGTTTCCTCGCAATACCTCTCATTCCGATCCAATCAACGCGACGAAGACCTGTCGGGACGTGACGCAAGACTTCGATCTCAAGACTTGCCTCACGCCGCCACCGACATCCGGTCGTAGCACAGTTCTGGGAAGCCCGATCGTGACCGCGACTGCGACGGCGACCGCGGACCGACAGCCGTACCTCGTTTCGCGATAGAAGTGTTGAGGTTGTAGTTGCACGAGTTAAGGATAACCAAAGTTAAACTCTGTTGGCAAAAGAAAATACCACCGCAAGGGCCAGGAGAGTAGAACCATAAATCCAGTCATTTCCCACATACGTATTTATTTATATATGGCTCCATTTTGAAAGTCAGGATAATAATTGTCAATTTATAAGCTGTCTGGTAAACTTTGGGGCTCAAAATTAGAGGAAGTTCAGGCTCATGACACAGAACTGTTTAAGTAAAATTTTGTGTGAGACGTCACATACAATAGCCTCCCGGTTAAATACGTACCCATTTAAGTACTCATCCCGGTTAAGTAGGAATAATTTTACTCAAAAATGGTGATCAAGATTTATTTAGTTTAAAATATCATATATTGTCATTTTGCCCCAAAGATTCTAGTATGTGGAAACCAATTTTTAGTTTATGTGTCATCATATGGAGTTTGGCATTTATTTCTTGGTTGATGTTTCCTCATCTGGTATTAGAAGTCTGAATTTTGCTGGTAATATACAGAACTAACCAGTATGGACCATATTTTATACATTTTTAGATCATATTCGACAATGAACATGTACAGGTAGTCTAAAGCTTCCAGTAATCCAAGATCTGATTTGTTGACGTCAGTTCACTTTCGAGAAGAATCATCATTTGCAACCATCGTACACTTGTGATTGATTTAGCCAAAATTGATAAATTTAATGCGATACTTTTTGCTTTTTGGTTAGAAAACGATAAATTGACAAAAACTTATGCCGTCAATACAAATGTAAAGCATTTCTTCAAAATCAATGAAACAACCAACAAAAGTGAAAAATCTTCTTTGTAAGTTAATTGTACATTAAGTCAGATATTTCTAGGACTTGTTCCCGCTTCTCTCTCACACTTTTTATAACTGCTTCACTAATATCATACTCGTGAGCTAGATTTTTTTTACTTGAAGCATCGGTGTGTTCAAATTATATCACATCCATGTGACACATTTAGTTTTGGTTTCTTTGACATTGCAATCTAATCAAAATATTAAGAAGTGATTTGCCTAAAAAAATGATGTGTCATAATAAATTTGAAGATCTGCTTAGGTACTTTTTGTATAATTCAACTTTAAACTGAGAAAAAGATTTAAAAATTATATGAATCTCTAAAAATTTTACTAATTATTGTTGGTAAGTATTTCTTATGCTCATCTAGATAGAATACGGGATTTTTTATATATATTCCAATATAGAATTCCAACTCAATACTCCTGCATTAATTTTGACAGTTTCTCTCTTTTCTACTAAGAAATGATTTGCCAAAGTACACACCTACCGGATAAACAGGCACAATTCTTCCATGATCAAATTGTGTAACTGGTGTGGAGACTATTGTATACGAAAAAAATTGTGCCTCAGAAGAACACAAAAGCATGATTGAAGTATAAAGCGAGAGTGGAAACGCACGGAATCCTCGAAAAGATATGAAATTCAGTTCTAAAAAGTACGGCTCCTATCGAAGTCTACTGAGCGCGTTTGCCGTAAGGTGGAGTTTAGGGTCAAGAAGAAGTCAAGACTCGTACGGCAGCCAGGGAGCAACTTCCGGTCAGCTGAAAGTTGCAACTTTCAGCTTACGTCTAAGGATCATGGACGAGGTTGGCTGGTGGAGCACGGTTTCCGATACAGTACGCGCATGACTATGTCCGTCGTGAGTTTGAAGGGAGACTCCTCAGTTTCACGGACGACTGATAGTCGTGTTATAAATCTCTCACGTATTCGAGATCCGAGTACAGCAAGTTTCAGATTCGCACGGGAGGCCTTCGCTTCCCATAGCTCGCCCTCTCTCACTCGACCCAGGGCAGCAGATCACTTCTCAGCAAAAGAAGCGGAAAGAGTCTCCGTCCGGGGGTTCCGTTTTGTACACAAGGGAGCGCTTGTCAGAGGAATCGTTCGAAAGGCCAATTCGTTGACGATTGACGGCTGCGAAGATGAAGACGGTTGAGATGATCATTTTAGGCTTCTCAGTCACATGTGTCCTCGTTGCTGTCTGCCTGACCATTTGGTTCATCATAGTGCGCTTCTGCATCGATCGCCGGGTTGCAGCAGCAGCCCGGAATGAGAGCGCAGAAAAGCATGGAGGCGGCAGCGCAGGATCCAATTTGACGCGACAAAATGGCCGGGGAAAGAGTGACCTTGAATCCGGTGCTGGAAATCATCACCTTCATGGAGGTTCATGAAAATCACTAGCCTATGCACTCACCCTGTCGCCTTGGAGAAAATCAGTTGGCTCTGAAGACGGACATCGCATGCAGCAGTCAAGACCACAGCAGGCATCTTGTTAGCGAACGAAGCTAAAACTTTCGTGTCCATGACAAGAAATCCGTGGCGTGCACGTATTTGAAGGTGGACAAAGCCATTGATGGTGAAACGAGCTCCTTTTGAGGATTCGACCTTTAGCTACAAAGTCTTCAGAAAGGGTGGGTGACTCTACAAAATCATCGTCCAAAAACCCAATCTACTACTGGCTAACTAGAGACGTGTGCTTTTCGCAGCCATCATCTACTAATGACGAAATTTCTGTTATAGGATTAAGTTCTTTCAGTCGTCGAGTGATCTTCCATTTCATCGTACCATTGGCCTCGAGCTCTGCAAAGGTCTATCTGTACAGTTCGTAGATCCTCATGCCTCCTCCTGCTATCTCCTGACTCGCGGTGGTGATGGTATTTTGACGTTGCACAGGTAATCATTGTCGAGTGGCTTCGGTCTTCTCATGATCATCACGGTTACGCAAGCTGGCTGTCATTGTCGACCGAAGGGGACTACGCCACTTATGATCTACAAAGAGCTAGATACTACGTGAGGAGGAGCATATACACACCAGAATCTTGGAGCAACCACGAGGATTTGGTTTAAATCCTCGTGCCAGCAAACGGTGCATGACATGCTGCAGAACTTGTGGAGAGTTGACATGGCTGTACTCGCATGCGCAAGCCGAGCCTCATTCTGCATAAGTAAGCTTGATCGTGTCCGCATTATGTACATGCCAGTCCGGTTTCGTCAACAGCCTCTCTTAGGCGCACAGATTGAAGAAAATCATGGCCCATCTTCTCTGCTGTGACGACTATTTGTTGCAGGTCTGCGTGTGGATTGTGTACACGCAGGGAAAGGTAGGGCACAAGAATCGGAAGACGCCTTCTACAATCGCTGGTCATTCCTCGATGAGCGGCAGACTGGCACAGGTCGGACAGGAATCCATGGCACTCTAAATCGGCACTCTAGCCCATCAAAAACGAAACTTCTGCACCTGCAGACAGTACTTCAGAGAACAATCAGCAAATAGTTTGAGATTCAAGGCATCTGCCTGGACTATTCTCCCCAATCCTTCCGATCCGTCTCCTCGTTTGAGCTGTGGAGATTACCTCAGAGATTAGCTTTGAGAGGAAAGTACCCGGCGAGCATTGTCTTCACGGCTTATACTGATCGAAACTCAATACTTCCGACTTGGACTTTTTGTGACACTCAATAATCCGTTCTTTCGAAATTTTTTTCTTTTTTTAGTTGGTTCTCGTTGAAATATTCGTTACTGCTTAAAATAGCTCAGACAAATTGAGCATCTTCAGCTTATAATTACTGGAACCATAAAACCTCTGATCTACCCTTCCTCTTGTATTTACAGCAGCGAAGAAAATAGCAAACTGCTTCATTTGGTTTGCAAAATCTTACAAACCATATAACATGTCTAAAACAATTAGCTATGTACATATAATTCACGAACCGAAGTAAACTCACAAATTTGCAATTTATACCAACTCCCAGATTTCTGTATGAGAGATCGGATTATTCATCCTGCTATATGATATTTTTAAGTTCTACGTCCCAATATCAGCATAGAATAGTGGAAAGATCGATCAGTCTTGATCGATTCAATGTTTCTTGAATTTTAAGTAATAACTTCAGATTTTAGAGCTTGTTTGTTCTGAATGCGCATAAATCTTGAAGTCGTCTACAGAGAGGTTTGCGAATGGGTATGACTTGATAGAGATAACAACGCTTTTGGCTAGATCAACCCCGACTGTATTCTCTCCCGGCTGACGGCATAGGTGAACCGTTGGTGTGTCACCGTCACCCGGGGAATTTCGCGTTTCGCGCCCGGTCGCCCTTTTCGTCTAGCATTTCTTGTGATACACTCGAATTGGCGACGGCGGATCAGGCGAGCTCGGATATTTGGCGAGTGATTCCTGCATTCTAGCATAAGCTTGAATTCAAGCTTATGCTAGCCGATTGCAAGGGGCATATGCGTTTGTAGGGGGCAGGTCATTGTTTTTCTGTACTCACTGCTTTGAGGGATGGGGCGGGGTTTCGAATTTTGATTAGTTGAGAGAAATAATACGAGAGGAACTGGTTACCAGCAGAGTCGGATATAGTCACATCTACTTTCCAAGCTGTTCCAAGCTGCCATCAATGAGCCGACTAGGGGGATTCCTTCTGACTCTTTTCATCTGAACCCGATGCCGAACATTCGATAACGCTGTGTTTCTGAGTTATAACTGACTCAATCGAAAAGTAATACATTCATTTCGAAATAGTTGCACCGAATTGTGTGGTGAGACTCAGTTGTTTCAAAATCTCTGTAAGAAATTCGAAACAAGCGTACACTCCGTTGGCATTATTAAAATTCCCCTGATGAGCTAGATCCCCCGTCCCACACCAATTCCGTCTGAGGGACATAGATTTAAAGCAGCACATTCGCGTAGTAACTGGAGGAGGAAGAGTCCATGAGGACGTGTAACTATAGCAGCTCAATTGGTGAATCGACACCGCTGGAGATTATGAGCAAATTATACTCACCCGTCCACACTGTCAACATAACAAGATCCTCGTCGCCTGTCACCTGTACAGGGCCGCATATACTCTAGCCACTAAATTTGGTTGTGTCAGCATGATGGTACTGTGTTGTGACCAGATTTTAGTTTCTGTTCGATGACTGTATTGCTTGTTCTGAGCGTCACATCTGAGTCCCGTATGGAGTGTTGGATCCACTATAGCCGCATTTCTGCGGTTCAGTTTGACGGCGTTTGAGCTGTTGGGTGTGATCTTCTGTCGAGGTCGAAAGTCTGCTAATCAGACCCTCACAAGTGTAAAGCTAAATTGGCGGATCAGATATTTCCTTCGAGAGAGCTTCGGAGGAGATCACTGCCGTGAGCGTACATGATGGAAGAATTCACCAAATGAAAGGTAAAAGAAGTGTTGTGGCACGTCAAAAACCAACTATGACAAAGGATAATGTAACACATCATCTGCTACTGCTATAATTGATGTGGTGTTTTACCTCTTCAGAGATGAAGCAAAGTTTCGTCAATTTGGAATATGGCTGCACAGTCTCGAGATCCATAATCTGCTTGAATAAGCTTCAAAGTTCCTCGTTTATTCCTTCAAAAAAAAGTTAGTAGCTAGTTTAAGTTTTCCATGTATTCCAGCAGAAGGATGCAGCGGCAGCTGCAGCAGCATCGTTTCAGTGGTTGCTGCTTCGTTTTAACTTTGAATTTGCAAAAAGTCGAACTCGATCTCGAGCAGCGGCTGGAGAAAAATTTCGGATTCAGAAATTATTACTTATTTGAGGGGAGGTGGGGTGAGCGCCAAGCAAGGCGAGGGCAGCGACGGGCAATTGCACTCTACCCTGGATTCTTTTCGCCTTCGGGTGTGCCTGAGCACGAGCTCGTCACAGGGGCCCGGATAATTGCTGCGCCTGTGCGATTGATGCTGATCTCGCGGATTGACCGGAGGGTAGTGTGAATGGGTTACTGTGGTGGTCTCTGACACGTGTCTCGCATATATTGACCATGAATAGTAGAGGGTGCGAGCTCGACGGGTGACTTCTTGACACGACGGTGACAAATGATAGACCGTCACCGTGATGACGGTCTATTCCGTTAGTCCATAGTAATTCGGTTGGAGTTGTTCTAGCCTGCAGTATAACAACGAGCTTCTTTTACTTATGTGCAAACATGGTTGTATTAGGCGATATATATACGGTCGTCTAAATTACCTAAAGTTGATGGTGATTAGGCGACTAAATTAAGAGAGTTACGATTTGGCGCGTACATGTTATAAGCAATGGAGAGTGTACACGCACGTAAAATTGATGGATTTTTTTAAAAATTTGAAAAATTTTTACTCTGAAAAAAAATTTAGTTTACTAAATCAGCATAAATTAAAATTTTTATAAATTAAATTGATCTAAATTAAATTATCTTTTTAGTGTACTAAATTAACCTAAATAAATTTTGTAAGGAGACTAAATTAATATTTTTGAATAGACTAAAATAAATTTTTCGAGGAGACTAAATTATATATTATTGGAAATTATTATATCCATGTAGCTAAATCTATCCATTATATATATTAGAAATATATATATAAATTGAAAGACCATCTAGATATTTCTTCTGTTACATTCTTTACGTTACATATGTTAAACACTGTACCCGCGTCCGGGAGCTTCCCGCGGGACACCGGGCTAGTTGCATACTATACCGATGTACTGTGGGAAGCTCCCGGGAGCTTCCCGGGCTCCTTGCACTTTTGAATATCTGGTTGCACCTACGCTGCTTCTTCGACTTCTTGAAATTTCAAATAGATGTCTTCTTTCTTTTGCCAATGGCATGAAGCAGGGTGAAGACGGGAGTCACTTCACTGGGTGGCATCAGCAGCGCTTCTATCAGTCAAGATCGTTTAGTAATGATGTCGCATATTCTCGCATTCATTTCGTGTTTATCTTCTAGGTTTTGATATGTACTTGAGAACCTTGACTTTTAGTGGATGATTTGGATTTGTTAGTAATCAATATTAGAAATAGAGTAGTTTCCATAGAACCTTGATTTTTAGTAGGTGATTTGGACTTGTTAGTAATAAATGTTAGGAATAGAGTAAATTCAATGAACACAAACGGTATATAATTTTATCCAAGTTGCAGTGGAGAATACGAGCACTTATTTATTGTTTATTAATAAGAAGAATGTTCAGAATAATACGCTAGACCTGGCTTAAAAAACTGATGTATCTAAACCTTCCGTATTAAATAATTCTTCGTCATGAACCGTTCAGGAATCATGGGACCGCGTAGTATTGCATACATTGCGATGTCTCTTCATTGTATTTTTATGTCCACTCTTTGCTAGATTATGTAGAAAGCCAAAACGTTTAAAAATTTGCATCTACAGCAGGCTATTAATTCCAGTAGTCGTTCTCAAGGCGATCATGTTCTGCCTAATATATAATATAAGATGTTTATAGTAACTTTCACCTTGGTGTTTTTCTATGCTTCAATGATGAATGGAGATGCATAAAATAAAAAGCAAGATGAAATAATATGGACAAAACCACAGTTAGATAGCAGTGATTACAATCTTGTAAACAGTTCCTCCTCGTTTCGTTGGGAATGGTTACGTGATCACAGCCGAGTCTTCACAACTTTTATATCTTCCGTCTAACCATGTCTTAACAGGTTCTGTATTCAGAGTCAGAGCTTGACCTTTCGTTCTTGCTCAAACAGTCAGTGGTCCATACTGACATTCCATTCGCACTGTCGCATGCGGGTTCCTAACACTCTCAGATTTTCTCAATCTAAACACTGGCGCACTCTCAACACCGGCGCACTCTCAATACACAGTCCATTGCGTATTTGCTTCGGTTCCAGCAGGCTTCAGATTCAGATGTTGCCAACCAAACGGTCGTTGGCCGCGAGGAAATTTGCGCAGCACTGATAGATAGATGAGTGATGGGGAAGCTGGATGAACTATAACCTCAAGTCGCGAACCTACGTTCTGCTCTCAACGTTCTTACTCTAACCAATAGAATAGTTCCTGGAAGTTACTGGGGTTGGGAGAGCCAATGTTCAGTTAGCATGGGGTCGTCGAAATTGCGAGTGGCAGGAAGAGCTCATAGCTTCACGATGGAACCTCGTAACTGATGTGGAATGGGATGGTCATGTTTTCCGTGTACTGCCGAATTATGGTAATTTTCTAGCATGAACGATGTAGTAGCAAAGTCGGCGTCGTGATTCTGCTCGTGAGCGTTTGACTGGCCTTCGAGGTAGGCTAGGAGTGCTGAGCAGAGACACATGTCCAGCTACAGTCGGCCACCGATCGTTTCACTCAACCTCGCACAACTGGACAGGGACACCGCACTTCACCTACCATGTTGCAGCATCCTACTCCGCCAAGCACGATCGCTTCGACGCGGAGCGAAACCTGTTCACGCGACCGCTTTCCGACCCCAGCAAGAGCAGGTTTACAAATTTCAGGGAGTGCAAGCAGGCCAGAAACAAGCGAAGTCGGGCAAAAAGCGGGCAAGACGCCTTCTTCTTCAGCCAGGTCGGAAACACATAAACCACGGCGTTGGGTGTAGCAGACGGAGTGGGAGGGTGGATCGAGTCTGGATTGGACCCCGCCGACTTCTCCCATGGCTTGTGCGAGTTCATGGCCTGCGCAGCACGCTCATGGCCGCACGGCTCTAACACGGCGTCGTTACATCCGAGGGATCTACTCCAGGAAGCATACGACCAGGTCACCGTAGACGACAGGATCGAAGGCGGTGGCAGCACTGCATGTTTGGCCGTTGCAGAACCAGACGGCAACGTCGAGGTGGCCAACCTGGGCGACTCGGGATTCATGCATTTGGGGTTGAACGCAGTGCGACATATCACGCAGCCCCAAACGCACGCCTTCAATACCTTCTATCAGCTCTCTAAAACCCCGCAACGCATGCTCGTGCAAATGGCCATACTGTATCTAGCATCTATTCACAGGTATCGCATACCAGCTCGTTCCCGACGACCCGCTCATCGACGCCACGCAATGCGGCCTCCATGCCTCGCTCATGAAGACAATCGGCACGAATTCGATCCGTGTTTACCATGTTGATCCGGAAGGGGACTGTTTAGAATAGTCTAGGCAATTGACAACCTAGCGTAGAAGCTACAACTACCTATGTTGATAAGATAAGAAGATTGTTTGCGTTCTTCCTTAGGCCTTAGGAATCTGTTCTTTAGAGGCTCTATCGCAGAGAGTCTCTAGGACAGTGTCAGTGCTACGTCGCGTTGCTTTCCCGTTAAAATTCGTTCTAGTAGCGCGACTGTTGTCTGTTATCTTTAGAGTGAGGAGATATACGAACACGTAGACCAAAAAAGAGATCTTCTAACAACCCCGACCGTATGCCATCCAACGGATTCTAGAGTGTGCGCGATCGGCGGATGAGTTCTTCACAGTCGGATGGGCATACGGTCGGGGTTGATCTAGCCAAAAGTCTAACAACTACCCTTCTGCAGTGAGAGTATAAAGGATTCAGATGTGAGGGTTGTTTGCAGGCAGGAATTAGACAATAGTAAAAGTTTAGTATTGAGACGAATCCTTAAGGAGTGACTATGGATCGGATCATGGAGAGTTGATATATCCCCAGGCACGTGATCTACCCGCAGCCTCTCCGGGGCTGGCCCGTAGGCCTTGCTCAGGAGGCTGGGAAAACACCTTTAATAAATAGTGTTGAACAGTTCGTCTGTCTAGTCATCGAATTGCTGCCAGGATCTCCCAACCCGCAATGTCCTCCGGGCTACCATTGGTGAGAAGCCAGAACAAGACGAGCGAGAGTGCGAGCGGGATGGAGAGAAATGTCGCGATGCGGTAGCACGACAGATGGCGCGCCTCGCGAGGCGCGACACCTCTGAGACACACCCTGACTTTGTACCTCCAAATATCCCAAAATCTCATCTCCACCCCACTTCGTCAGACCTAATTCTACCTCCTTCACAGCCTGAAACCCATGTCTGGCGTACATTGGTGCTCCAATAAGAGACGCTTCCAAATACGCCTCAACACCATCTTCATCCGCCTTCTCACATCCCACCGGACGAGCATACTGCCTGATCACCAAGAGAAGACGCCATACTACGGAGTAGCAATCCTACAGATTCACCATGTCCCACTCCGACTCTCCTCTCATTCTCTACGACATCTCCTCGCCGTTGCGACCTCGGTCGTACGCCCCCAATCCCTCCAAGGCCCGCCTCGCGCTCAGCTTCAAACATGTCCCGTTCAAAACCTGCTGGGTCGATCTTCTCGACATCCCCAAAGTGCGGCAGGACTTGAAGTGCCCTGCTACACGAAAGCTGGACGACGGCTCCGACTACTACACGCTGCCCATGCTTCAGGATCACTCCGGCAACATCATCGGCGACTCCTTCGACATTGCCAATTACCTCGAGGACGCATATCCGCGCTCGGGCGGCTGCCTCTTCCCGGTGAACTCGACACGGACAGGCCTGGACTACGAGAGCGCACACAGGAACACTGCGTTCCACGCCCCTCTCTCTCTGAACGAAGGGAAGAAGAACGAGGCCTACGCCATCTTCAACACACATGTCGACGCCACCTTCAGCGCCAACATGCTCCTATTTGGGTATTACCTGCCGTTCGAGCCGGACAGCGCCGAGGCCGCCAAAGCTCAAATGGTGCAGCGCGCGCATTTGAGCTCCTGGGAAGACATCAACATCCAAGGTGAGGCGCGGGCGGGGCTGATGGTCGCGTTTAAAGAGTCGCTGGCTTCGCTGGCGCAGCCGTTCACGGTCAATGAATCAGGGCCGTATCTAGAGGGCAAGGAGGCGAACTATGCCGATCTGATTGTGGGAGGATGGCTGAATATGCTGAGCATTATCATGCCGAAGGATGAGTGGGAGGAGTTCAGGTCGTGGTATGGTGGAGCTTTGGCCAGGCTACATGATGCGCTGCAAGAGGACTGCTTCGTGTGTACTTAGTTTGGTGTCGTCGTCAGTCTTGCAGTACGGATCCAATGTAAAGGTGGTGTACATGTACATGTTATTTTTGCGAGATTGAGAAACCGAGAATCTCTATTTCACGACCAACGAGTCTTCCGAGCTCTACGGTAGCTCTCACTGCAAGTGTCATGCTGTGGGCATTCTGTCGGTCCGCGATGTCGAGCGCTGCGGCACCGCACTTCGCCTCACAAGTGAGGAGCGGTAAGTATATATAGTACAGTAATTTCTCCCTTAAGTATGTACCCGTTTAGATACGTATACCAATTAATCTAACCAATTTGCAGAAGATTTTTCAGTGATTAACATTCTTAACGATTTTACTATAAAATTTAGAGATTTCAATATTTTCGACGAGTGCACTGTACAGTTCAAATATGTCATTATAAATTTCAGCAATTTCACTTTTCAGAGATTTCACTGTAAAATTCAGAAATATCAATGTAACATTATCATTGTAACTTAAAACATTATTTCGTTTTTTCTGTGTCTAAATTTAAATACTAATCCTCATATTTTCTCAGATCGTGGAATGAATGGAATATCTTAACATCTTTTTGAACCGTAGAACATAACAATTGTTCATCAATATCAAAAATCTTGTTATACAAAGATTTAAATCAAGCTGAATCGTGATTAACATCTTATAGACTATTAATTATTTGAGTCTGCATAAATCTAAGTGAAATCCTCTTTTATTTAAACGTGCACTCATTCTCTCCTTCCACTTGATGTCACTCAATTATGAAGATCAGGGTTACTAGCATTCATGTGATGGAGCAAACACAAGCTGAATGTCACGTGAAAGTAGTGCGGTATGCCTGGTGTGATCATGTAAGCTGGTTTTGAAAAAGATCCTGTTAATGATTGCATTTTTGCCTCCCTATATTTCCTTATCATAGAATAATCATGTGGTTTGATCTTGGCACGTAGCAGTTTTTGGGATTTCATGATCCGGAGTTACGGCTGAAATCTTTTTGCAGCTTTTTCTGTTCCGTTATCGTATTCTCCTAGCGTTCTACATTCACTGAAATTGGAAAAAACGCAGAGAGTCCAGCAAGTTATGATCTTACAAAACTTGAGATGTCTTGAGATAGTTATTAATCAACCGTAGAGATTCCCTAGGTGTGTAGCTGAGATACGCTCTACGGTTTCAGTCGCGGAGGCGTATCTCAGTGATATTTTCTTGAACAAGTGTCTTTATGTCAAAATTTACAGAAACTATCATGGCCAACTGGCTATCAATGCGACTTCATAAAAAGCATCTGAGTACAATGTGGAATTACGATGCTCCTCTGGTTCCGAGACGGTGACCTTCCCAACTGAATGCTCACGTGAATGTCAAGTTCGTCCATTTACTCCGCAGCTGAGAAAATACATCTTCGGTGCGACAGATTCGTTCATCCCACTATACCAGCCCATCAAAACTTGGTGGGGGATGCTGATTTCAAACTTTAGGTATGATTTGTTCCATCGTGCATGTCGTTGGGTAAAGATGGAAAAACAGAACACCAGGTATCCTTCAATTAACTCAATCACAGTCCACTTCAAAGAGAGTGGGTCCCGTAGACAGACCTCAGCGAGGTCCTCCACGCATTCCAGTCTAGTTAGAACGGGTTATATGGACCAAAAAAATCGAGATTGTTTTTAGGCTTATACGTTTCGCTGTGTTATCAATATCGCAGATTCTATCGGCTCTATAAAACTGGTACCCCACTAAACACTTCAGAGATGATGGTTGATTCGGACGTAAGAACTTGATCCGGTCCACCAAACACTGTGCAGAAACAGAGCAGGACTCCAGGCCTCCTTCCAGATATCTTGACTACACTCCCGCTCAGAGTGGATGTGTGTTTCGGTGGTGTGTGCAGGTAAAGCTGGACGACTTCCTCGACACTTTCATTCAATTCATAGCAGGTTCGATCGGCTCAGTGCAGCTGTTACTCCACTGAGGACTTCGGAGATGATGGGTGTTGGTGATTTGGACGTGAGCAGTCGATGTGGAGCACCATGCACGTCGTTAGGTGCAGATGGCAGAGCAGTACACCAGGCGGCCTTCAATGTTGCTTGACCACATTCCCGCTGAGAGAGGAGGTGTATTTCGGTGCGCGCTGAGAGAGGTCGACGATATGCTCAGCGCATTTCGTTGAATGCGAAGGGTAATCAATTAGATGCAGGGTCGATAGTTTTTATTTATCCGCAGTCCACTCCTGTCGAGAGGGGATGTGTGGACTGGGCAGTTTGAAGTTGACAACCTGCTTCCGGATTCAAGTCGCTGGGATATGGGAACGGCAGGTTCCATCGGCTCAGTGCAGCTGTTACTCCACTGAGGGCTTCGGAGATGATGGGTGTTGGTGATTTGGACGTAAGCAGTCGATGTGGAGCACCATGCACGTCGTTAGGTGCAGATGGCAGAGCAGGACTCCAGGCGGCCTTCAATGTTGCTTGACCACAGTCCCGCTGAGAGAGGAGGTGTATTTCGGTGCGCGCTGAGAGAGGTGGACGATATGCTGAGTGCATTTCGTTGAATGCGAAGCGTAATCAATTAGCTGAAGGGTCGATAGTTTTTATTTATCCGCAGTCCACTCCTGTCGAGAGGGGATGTGTGGACTGGGCAGTTTGAAGTTGACAACCTGCTTCCGGATTCAAGTCGCTGGGATATGGGAACGGCAGGTTCCATCGGCTCAGTGCAGCTGTTACTCCACTGAGGGCTTCGGAGATGATGGGTGTTGGTGATTTGGACGTAAGCAGTCGATGTGGAGCACCATGCACGTCGTTAGGTGCAGATGGCAGAGCAGGACTCCAGGCGGCCTTCAATGTTGCTTGACCACAGTCCCGCTGAGAGAGGAGGTGTATTTCGGTGCGCGCTGAGAGAGGTGGACGATATGCTGAGTGCATTTCGTTGAATGCGAAGCGTAATCAATTAGATGAAGGGTCGATAGTTTTTATTTATCCGCAGTCCACTCCTGTCGAGAGGGGATGTGTGGACTGGGCAGTTTGAAGTTGACAACCTGCTTCCGGATTCAAGTCGCTGGGATATGGGAACGGCAGGTTCCATCGGCTCAGTGCAGCTGTTACTCCACTGAGGGCTTCGGAGATGATGGGTGTTGGTGATTTGGACGTAAGCAGTCGATGTGGAGCACCATGCACGTCGTTAGGTGCAGATGGCAGAGCAGGACTCCAGGCGGCCTTCAATGTTGCTTGACCACAGTCCCGCTGAGAGAGGAGGTGTATTTCGGTGCGCGCTGAGAGAGGTCGACGATATGCTGAGTGCATTTCGTTGAATGCGGAGGGTAATCAATTAGATGAAGGGTCGATAGTTTATTTTTAACCGCAGTCCACTCCTGTCGAGGTGGGATGTGTGGACTGGGCAGTTTGAAGTTGACAACCTGCTTCCGGATTCAAGTCGCTGGGATATGGGAACGGCAGGTTCCATCGGCTCAGTGCAGCTGTTACTCCACTGAGGGCTTCGGAGATGATGGGTGTTGGTGATTTGGACGTAAGCAGTCGATGTGGAGCACCATGCACGTCGTTAGGTGCAGATGGCAGAGCAGGACTCCAGGCGGCCTTCAATGTTGCTTGACCACAGTCCCGCTGAGAGAGGAGGTGTATTTCGGTGCGCGCTGAGAGAGGTGGACGATATGCTGAGTGCATTTCGTTGAATGCGAAGCGTAATCAATTAGCTGAAGGGTCGATAGTTTTTATTTATCCGCAGTCCACTCCTGTCGAGAGGGGATGTGTGGACTGGGCAGTTTGAAGTTGACAACCTGCTTCCGGATTCAAGTCGCTGGGATATGGGAACGGCAGGTTCCATCGGCTCAGTGCAGCTGTTACTCCACTGAGGGCTTCGGAGATGATGGGTGTTGGTGATTTGGACGTAAGCAGTCGATGTGGAGCACCATGCACGTCGTTAGGTGCAGATGGCAGAGCAGGACTCCAGGCGGCCTTCAATGTTGCTTGACCACAGTCCCGCTGAGAGAGGAGGTGTATTTCGGTGCGCGCTGAGAGAGGTGGACGATATGCTGAGTGCATTTCGTTGAATGCGAAGCGTAATCAATTAGATGAAGGGTCGATAGTTTTTATTTATCCGCAGTCCACTCCTGTCGAGAGGGGATGTGTGGACTGGGCAGTTTGAAGTTGACAACCTGCTTCCGGATTCAAGTCGCTGGGATATGGGAACGGCAGGTTCCATCGGCTCAGTGCAGCTGTTACTCCACTGAGGGCTTCGGAGATGATGGGTGTTGGTGATTTGGACGTAAGCAGTCGATGTGGAGCACCATGCACGTCGTTAGGTGCAGATGGCAGAGCAGGACTCCAGGCGGCCTTCAATGTTGCTTGACCACAGTCCCGCTGAGAGAGGAGGTGTATTTCGGTGCGCGCTGAGAGAGGTCGACGATATGCTGAGTGCATTTCGTTGAATGCGGAGGGTAATCAATTAGATGAAGGGTCGATAGTTTATTTTTAACCGCAGTCCACTCCTGTCGAGGTGGGATGTGTGGACTGGGCAGTTTGAAGTTGACAACCTGCTTCCGGATTCAAGTCGCTGGGATATGGGAACGGCAGGTTCCATCGGCTCAGTGCAGCTGTTACTCCACTGAGGGCTTCGGAGATGATGGGTGTTGGTGATTTGGACGTAAGCAGTCGATGTGGAGCACCATGCACGTCGTTAGGTGCAGATGGCAGAGCAGGACTCCAGGCGGCCTTCAATGTTGCTTGACCACAGTCCCGCTGAGAGAGGAGGTGTATTTCGGTGCGCGCTGAGAGAGGTGGACGATATGCTGAGTGCATTTCGTTGAATGCGAAGCGTAATCAATTAGCTGAAGGGTCGATAGTTTTTATTTATCCGCAGTCCACTCCTGTCGAGAGGGGATGTGTGGACTGGGCAGTTTGAAGTTGACAACCTGCTTCCGGATTCAAGTCGCTGGGATATGGGAACGGCAGGTTCCATCGGCTCAGTGCAGCTGTTACTCCACTGAGGGCTTCGGAGATGATGGGTGTTGGTGATTTGGACGTAAGCAGTCGATGTGGAGCACCATGCACGTCGTTAGGTGCAGATGGCAGAGCAGGACTCCAGGCGGCCTTCAATGTTGCTTGACCACAGTCCCGCTGAGAGAGGAGGTGTATTTCGGTGCGCGCTGAGAGAGGTGGACGATATGCTGAGTGCATTTCGTTGAATGCGAAGCGTAATCAATTAGATGAAGGGTCGATAGTTTTTATTTATCCGCAGTCCACTCCTGTCGAGAGGGGATGTGTGGACTGGGCAGTTTGAAGTTGACAACCTGCTTCCGGATTCAAGTCGCTGGGATATGGGAACGGCAGGTTCCATCGGCTCAGTGCAGCTGTTACTCCACTGAGGGCTTCGGAGATGATGGGTGTTGGTGATTTGGACGTAAGCAGTCGATGTGGAGCACCATGCACGTCGTTAGGTGCAGATGGCAGAGCAGGACTCCAGGCGGCCTTCAATGTTGCTTGACCACAGTCCCGCTGAGAG